AAAGAAAAAAAAATGTAAAAACCATGACAAATTGATAGAACATGACCCGGATGTAATAGACCCAGATGCATTCAACCATGTTCCTTGCTCTATGATTCAACGGATTACACTTCCCCCTCACTGCACTCATTTGCATAAATTATCATTCAATCTTAGGTGCCAAAAAAGGTGCTGAAGAGGATTAGAATGCAGACCCCCCCCCCCCCAAAAAAAACCCCTCAAATTGTCCCACAGTGGTCCTACATGTAGGAACAAATAAATATTAATTCACACTAAAATAACATGGTAAAATAATTATACATAAATATAGAGAAGATCATCAATAATGTGAACATGCTGAAAATCAAAAACAATGCAAAATTGGGGAAGAAGCCAAATCAAATAAGGCAGAGTAGGTATATTTGGAAATTAGAAAATATCACTAAAACTTAAATTAGTAAGAAGGGGAAAATAGTTAGAAGAGTGCCAAAAATAAGATTCAAATATTTCACTGGTTACACATAATTTTCAAAAAAAGATATACACTTTTAGAAACCTATTACAAATGTCAGATAAAACACATCAATACAAATACACACGATTTTAAAGATTATTTTTAAAGTTGTAGGACAATTTGTTCAAGTATATCTGGTCACAAAAGGATGTTCTAGAAAAAATATTGTTTCGTAATTTTCCTGCAAGCAGTGGCGTCACCAGACTTTTCAGTCTGGGGGGGGCACAGGGGGGGCACCAGCATTTGATGGGGGGGGGGGGGGCACTTAGGTGGATACGGATCGCCGTCCTGGGGGAGGGGTCTAAGGGGAGGGGGTGCCCCCCTCCCATTTGGAAAATGTTCGCATACGGAGGATGGGCTAGATGCAAAATGGTGCCACATTTGATGCTAAATTCGATCTGAAGATATCTCAAGAAATTGCTATTTTTGAGGTAATGATTTTAACAACGCGCAGAATTTTGCAGAGGATAGGGGGGCACCAGCATTTGATGGGGGGGGGGAGGGGGGGGGCACTCGGGGGGCACTAGGTTTTCCAGGGGGGGTACGTGCCCCCCCCCCCCTGGCGACGCCACTGCCTGCAAGGAGAATAAATGTCAATGTGCTTCAGAAACTGTCCTTCCTAGTGTAACTGTAACTTGTAAGGACCCTGGAGGTTTACTCATCATTTGCATAGCAGGATTTCACACATTAAAACTGTTTATTGTGTGTTTTCCTGTGATAATAGTACCACCTGTTTTGTACCAGTAGTGTGAGAGGAAACATTTTGATACATGTTGTTATGTGGATTATTAGATTAATAAAGTTATTGGGGAAAAATTACTTCGTATGGTATTTTGTATGATTAAATGTTTTAACATAATTTCATGTTTGTGTCATAACAATGTTAAAAATAAATGCTCAGTATAATAACAACAAATGTGTTAGTGAAAAACTTTAAAAACCAACTTTACATAAAAGGAAATGCTTTCAGCAAGCTGTCCATCAACTTCAGTATGATGTGATGAGGAACAACAATTTTCCTGACCATTACAAACAAAAGGGCCATACCATAAACCTACATGTGGTTACAACTCCGATTTACAACTACCGGTAGCTAGAAAATCCCCTGTTAGTTCACAAAACTTGTGTCCAGAAGTGCATGACCCTCATCCCTCTCTACCCCTGTGAAAACCACCCTCCAAAGAGGAGAAGAAACATCTAATAATCAATGCAATGTGGTTCACTGTTTACAAAAAGAGATCTGGGCTTTGGCCTCCCATTGGGAATTGGTTGGAAGAGGCTGATTAGAAAAAGAAGATTATTTCTGACAAATAACAATTTTTTTAAAAGGCTTTCGACTTTTCGATAAATTATGGAAATTACTACATCAAAAGGCAATCACTAGTGGGCTCCACTTATGTATGTCGAGCATAGTCGGGGATTGTCACTTCAATTTTGCCCGAGGAGTGGGTCAGTTCCAAAGTGACAATCCCAACGTCTTGCCGGGAATGAGTGGTGCAGGGGGGAAATGTTGGTTATATACTGACAGATTTTGTGTTCCAGGTCACATTTTATATTTTTTTTTCTCGGATACTTGGCCTCCAAAAATCAATATGGGGGGGGGGGGGAGGAAATCATTCTATATTACAGAAAAGTGTACAAATGTACAACTACATGTACCCCCTCACCAGTTGGCTCTGTCCGTATTTTGTGCACAAACGGACAGTTTATCAGTGTCCTCGATCCTCCTATTTCTGCGCAGATAACGCTCTGCAACCCAGTAGCTTATAGGGAATGAACAACATTTGCTTTTGCTGTAATTTTCAGAAATACATGTAAATGGATTTGGAGGATTAGTATGTTATAGAAAATATTGTTAAACTGACTTGTTACATGTTTTGAGCTTGTAGACGCTGGAAAAACCAAGAAAACCTATCATGTTCTTGTAGTCTGGTTCCCTGACCCCATTTAAAATGAAACAGGGCAATTGATACACTTGGGGAATTGTAGGCTCAGAGAATCAGTCTAGCAGGCTTGTATCCCTTCGCAGGTGTGTAATCAATTGCAAAGGAAAGTCAGAATAACTAAATATGAAAACTTAGGAACAGTTTTTTGAAAAAAAACCAAGTTTTTTCCAACGCTGGTCGGCCGACCAGCGTTGGAAAAATACAGTTTTTCTTGAAAATGTCAGTGCACCAGGAGCCACGATTTTAAAGGATGATTTGGACTGTCAGTCCCTAATAATTCAGTGAGGTATTTCGTGACAATTTCGTAAACAATCCCTTTAAAAATAGCAAAGCAACCACTCTTTCCCTCAACAAAACTCACATTTTTGGCTTACGATCATCCATCATACCGATTAACAAAATGAAATCTCTTTATGGTGGCAGCAAGCGGGGAGTTCCAACAAGTGCAGTTTTGGCATTGTAGAAAAGAATCCTGCCAAATTCTACCATGGAACGCTTCATAAAAAGTATGTGCTGTCCAGACCATGTAACTCAATGTAAATATTCTGTTTTTAATAACTTAGACTTGTTGGCTTTATGAAAAATATATTTCCTGAGCATTTCAAACATTATTTCTTTCTTTTTTCTTTCATTTTTTCAATGCCAATACACTTTTCGTAATTTCAGGATTATTTCAATATCCCATTTTGGAGATTTATACAAAGGCCTATATTTACATATTTACATATTAACCAGATTTATACATATTTACCTATTAAATGTAGATCCCAATGATATTGTTATTCTGAGCATCCCAATCAACAGAGACAGTTTTTAAGATGTCGGATTTTAAAACTTATGGCAAAAAAATTCCGAAATAATGTAAGAAACGTGTCTTTTTAGTTGCACCGTAAGTTTTCCCTTGTAGAAACTGAAAATTTCTATGACATCTCAACTATAAATATACTGACGATATTTGGCGACCAAGAAAGGACATCTTTTGGTCACATTTTTGACTTCTGCAGGCCCGGAAGCATGATCTGCCTGCATTCAAGCATGATTCAAGTTTGTACTTAAGTATTTGGCTGTAGAATTTGCCTGAATTTCTGGTAAAGCCTTCAATTTCCACTTTTTTTGGGCCGCTGGTTAAAGTTCGTGCATCAAAGAATACGATCCCGGTGAAAGTATGTCATTTCTTAGGATACACACCTTTCAAAATAAAGGCGAGTGCGCAGAAATAGAAGCGCGTAGCTTTAGAAGGTCTGACGATATAATTTTAATGTTAGCCAATTCAAAGTACGTACATGTACATGCAGGCCTAGGCCTACATGGTTGTAATTGGCAACAAAACCGTATGCATAATTTTTTTTTACTGTTTTCCCTGGATTGATGGCAGAACAATTTGCAGATCCGTGGAAAACATGTTCCCAGTATAGTTGCACTGTTCTTTCACAAAAATTTTTATCTTGCTGAGTGATATTCAAAATAATTTCATCGCCACCTATTTTGGGTGATGATGAATGCATACACGTGGATATTTAAGTTCGATACAAAAAGGACAGTTCGAAGCTACTGCTAGTATAGGCTATAATTTTAATTACGTGTTTTCTACTCAGCATTATTCCGGATGTCACTTTCTCCCATCATATCTCCAAAAGACAGTAAATTGCAAACAAAAATCGAGAACCTGCAATTCAGTTTTTGCAAAAAAATAATGTGAAAACGCATTCGGCTTTCAAAACATAATCAAGACGAGGTGTCTGGATACTCTTACCATTCTATCCTTATACCGGTAAAGGATTAAAAACTAACCTTGGTCTTGTTTACGGCAGGATTCGATTTTGGTGCTTGGTCCGTTTTGGGTTCTGATGATAGGCCTAAAGACGGAGGCGATTCAACATCATTTCTTTCTGACTCTGACTCCGACTCTGAAGACATCTTCAGAGACAGATTAACATCAACGAACTATATGACAGTTTACGTTAGAATGTTGCTTTTTGCTCAAAAGTGGATGTTTTTTTTAATAAACAATTATGCCGGGTCAAACGATCCAACCTTGCTCCATGATCCAACCCACTCAGTACTGCACCGGAGATGACAACCACGTGCGCGCTTTGACTTATATGCCAAGGCTTTAACATGTGTGCACGTCCAGTACATACAGTACACGTACGTAGCAAGCATGCACTGTCAATCACAAGTGTCAAAAAGCAGTGAGTTTGAATATTCATAAAAAAGTAAGGTAGCGCACTACATCTGTCCGGGATTGGTGGGGCCTGATTTTTAATGAATATTCAAACAACAAAATCAGCTTCACTTTTGTGTTTTCCTCCAAAACATAATGTCATGGAATAAAACCAACTTCACATTTAAAAATGAAACTTCCTACCCTTTCCTACCTAATATGTCTCCTGTCGTCATACCATCTTTACCTACCAATTATTCACGACTCCTACAGGAAAATATACACACTATAGTAGGTAAAGACGACTGAAAACAGACTAGTATTGCTTTGCACATGCGCATTTGGAGCGCAACCATCCGTGGTTTAGCTTCATAGGTCGTGATGCATAGATGCCTCAACTAGGTACAGGTGGTGTCGGTGTCGATGGTGTGCCAAAAGCCTAGCTAAAATTCGCTAAATTATATCGATGTGTGTAGATAAATTGTAAGTTATTTCTGGTTGTCCATTCTAACGAACATATGCCTTGAGAGTTCATGTATAACCGTACGTTAGTAGGCCTACCACTGCGTTTTATTTCACGCAGTGGCTATTGTTACGGCAGCCGTAACGCATTTCCCATTTTCTATCGTTACGGTAGACTGCAACCTGGCAACTTTTATAAAAAAAACATGACAAGAAAATATAAAATTAGAAGGAAAAAAGTGAATTTGAACTTTATGAAATTCGGACTTTATTTCCCTTTTAAAAAAAATCCTCCAAAGCCTCAGGTTAGAAAAGGAAAAAAATTCGAGTGCAAAACTGAGATTCGAACCCGCAACCTCGCGGTGCAAAATCCTACCCTCTATCGGCTGAGCTGGCGCACTGCTCGATAAAACGTGGAGAAACAAATAATTATATACCCGCGTGCGTATCAAAAAAATATCGTAGAGGGCGCTAAACAACGAGTGCCGTAACGATAGCCACTTCGTTTATTTTAACGTGATTCAGTTGCGCCTGTGTAATGTGTGTGCAATTATTTTATGGCCATGCATTTGTACAAATGCACGGCCATAATAAAAAAAAAAAACCTTCAGAGCTATGGCTATGCTGTATGCATCAAAAAGAAAATTTAGGGAAAGAATGTTGCAACCTGATGCCACTTTTTTCTTCATAAATCATCTCAATGAAGGTCAGTCATTGCAAAAGTGATGAAAAGGCATGGATCTGGGACTTAGAAACATTTCCAATTTTAATGTTAGGAAATTCTTGACTCTCCATAAACTTTGTACACAACCGCTGCAATGGCGTCATGTTTAATTTTTTTCTGAAAAATACGTTACAGCCAAAATAAAAATAGCCACTTATGTGTAGCAGGCTGCTATATAATTTACACAATTTTTCAAGCTTGTTATAGGGAAATATAAATTTTAATATTTTGTTTTCTTCCTTCGCACTGTGTTTGTGTTGGAGAAAAATAGTCTGTATTCATTTACTAGCACAACCCCTATTAAATCCACTGCTTGTAAGTTGTAGTTGGACATTGTTTTTTGTGCAAGACCTGGTTTATTAGGAAACCACTTTTAATGTCAGTTGTATCCTGTATATTGTTGATGTACCCTAACGTGGCGCGGCCCCTAACGTGGCGCACTTTGATTTTTCGGCTGTAGCGCCTAGCTAGAGCAAAAGTTTTAACTGAAATTTTACAGAAAGTGAAATTTCATCAAGTTCTAAACACTCCCGTTCATAAATCGCGAGTTTATTTACCTGCTACAAAGTTAAAAGAAAATATTATTTTGGCGTGATTTTCCGATTTTATTTTCAAGTGCAAAGTGAACCCTTTCAAAATGCCCCGAAAAATAAGAAAATAATTTTCTGACAAACATCTGGCTGGGTATGTAAGTAGAGATAATAATGTTTTATCAGAATTTATCAAGTTTACAGAAATTCTTAAATGTTAATTTGGAATTTTCCGAGATTTATTCAAGTGCGCCACGTTAGGGAACACTCCGCCAATTTGTGCCCAATTTCCGGACGCCACCGTTTTTGAATTTCGGCTTAAAGTTTATGAAACTGAAATTGTTCACAGATGTTAAATAGCAGGCATTAATAAGGTCAAAGTACCAGTATTTCACTGCATGAATTTGAGGTTTGTCAACAAAGAAGTTTGGCAACACTACACGAGGAAAGTTGGGTAAGCTTCGAAGTGCGCCACGTTAGGGAACACGACTATACACCTCCATTTTGACAGCACCTGAATCAAGGAATTTTTATAAATATTCAAGTAATTTAACCATTCAACAGCAGTACACTGTGACTCTTCAATCCCCCCCCCCCAAAAAAAGTAATGAATTAATTAAAGTTATGAATATAATTTTCAGTCATAAGAAAGTAAAGTAAAATTGCTTTACATATTTGCTTTTTTTTATCCATTTCGTTAATCTCTAGGTTTATACAGATTTTCCTACAGTTTGCTGGATGATGTTAAATGGAGTCGAGCTGATTGTATCGCGAGCAAGATGTCCACTGATTTCATCAAAAAGGACAGCTGGATGAACAGAACCAAAAACCATGGCAACCGATAATTTGACAGTGCGCTTGCCGCAGATGCTAAGCCTCCTTCAACAGAGCAACCACAACTCTAGGTGGCGAGATCGAACAATTGCTCCCTGCCTCTTGTCAAGAACATGTACATATAATTGGCTGTGCAGATGCCTTCTCACGGTATTGCTGTTCCTAGGTCTTCCCAATTTAAGCAATGTTCATGCGCGAGATGTCAGGCCCCAACGGGAACATTACACCCCTAATTACAACTACTACCACAACGTCTCACAAATCGGCACCCAGATCCAAAAGCTAGTCGCCAGGAATCCAAACTACATCAAGTTAGACCTGCAGTACAAGTCCCGCAGTAGCATCCCTCAGTACGTCTTGCACATTTCAAATTTCTCAAATGCGAGGACGGAATCCGGGTCGTTCAGCGTCAGCATGGCGAAACCCAAGATTTTGTTGTCGTTCGGGGAGCACGCGCGGGAGTTTTTCCCGGTCGAGAGCCTCTTCTATCTCCTGAACAACATCACCCGCGGTTTGAGCGCTCCGCACGGTTCTCCCACGGAGAGCTTTTCTCGGCTGATCCTTAGCCGCGTTGATCTGTATGTCATTGGCATGGCCAATCCCGACGGGAGACGGCACATCGAGAGGACCAAGAACTTTTGCTGGAGGGGGACCAGCGTTGGTGTGGACCTGAATAGGAACTTTGACTGGAGATACGGTGGGAAAGGAAGTTCTGGTGACCCGAAGGATGAGGAGTACAGGGGGCCATTTGTTCACTCTGGTGAGTTTAGAAAACAGCAACGTAATAAATGTAAATTCCTTGGTCCGGATCCGTTTCTTAGAGCTGCATGTATGGTTGTAGAAAGGGTGTGACATTATGTCTCATCACTTGCATCATTTTCATCACAGCTTTATCTTTTGAATTGGCAGAAGCAACTCTCTAAGTTGAACGTTTTGTTGTTTACACCTTGAGCCTCCCAGTAGTAACAATTAAGATGCAACAGGTGTTTGAGTGTGTGGGACCTGGTTGCATTCGGCAGCCAACACCAGCAGCATAAAGTCCAAAAACTGTCGCAACGTTACCCACATGTAGACCAGGATTTCTCACAATGAAAATTCTCACTTTCCTTTGCAGAGCCAGAATGTCAAGTTTACCTGGACCTTACGTCTCTTCACGCCTTTGATGCCTTCCTGTCACTACACTCAGGGATCAAGCAAATATACATACCATTTGCAGGTATTGAAAAACAATTTATGCTACCATTACCTTAAAATTACATTATTCTTGTTTTAATTATACATAATAACATGAACTTTTATAAAAAATTAATAAACAACATTGGCAAGCATAAAACAAAACTACCAAATTATTAAAAAGGTCAGTGTAACAATATTTGCCATAACATACTAACCCCCAAATCCATCCATTTCTGAAAATTACAGCAAACGCAAGTGTTGTATAAAAATTATTACCTTTAAGTATGCTGGTTTCATTATGTTCTAGACTTGGAAAGGAGGGTCCGGGCACTAATCTTGAAGTGAGAGCTATACATTGCTGGTTTGCATGCATTTTAGTACACATTAACCCTAACTCCCCAGCCTAATTTACCAGGAACCATACCCATTCTGGCAAATTCCAACACCCACGTGGGAAATTGTACACACACACTGTTGGACTTAGTTTCTGGAGGTATGCCAACCCCAGTGTAAATGACCATCAGTTTAGGGGTACTGTACCTATCCCAACAGATTTAAACAAAACCTGCTGTTGAACTTTGATGGGTTGTGCTCGGTTAGGGTTAATGCACATTAAGAATCACTCCATACATTGTACCATGAAAGTTTTCTACGTTAAAGGCAATATTTGACTCTGTCACTAGTGATGGCACACCATTGATCTGGCAAGTTGTAGACAAGTCCTTAAGCCTAAAGTCAAATTACAAGCCTTTCAAATGAACTGTGACAATGGCATTCCTTTATCATTGTTCATCCCCTGTGACTTGTGACCAGACTTGTTGTGATTGACTCATGATATGACTTTTGACGCACTTGACTACGTCTCTGTAAAAAGGCATTTTCACACTACCCAAGATCTCTGCATAGGACCTGGTCCAAATTCAAGAATTTGGGAACCCCTTCCACGCTAGCAAGAATCCAACAAGGCTTCTTCAGAGGTCCAGCCCTGGCCCTCTAGATGGATAAAATTCAGCCCTGGTTGGGACCAGGGTTGACAGGCTCCATCTGGGTAGAAAATGCAAAAACTACTGCTGACTTGTGTACAAACTGGTCTAAGTAGGAATGGTATGCTTTGTCATCCCATATTTGGTTGGACCCAGTTCTGCTCACGGTGAACCTTGTTGATTCAATACTGGTTGGTGAGAAAAGCCCTTTTTAACACTAAACCCTCCTCAATCCTCCAAAATCCTCAGCGGTTTTAGAGGATTTTGGAGGATTGATGATGAATGGTGTTTGAAGAAGAGGATGATTTTGGAGGATTGAGGATGAATGCATTTTGAGAGGCAGGACTGTCTGATGATTTTGAAGGATTGAGGCGCTGGGTATCCTTCGTTTGAACATAATGTGCAAAATTTTGGAGGACTGAGGAGGGTTTCTAACAAAAGGTCCTAGGGGGTTAGTTAAAATTGGACACCTGATATTATCTAGAAAATTTTTGATTTTTAGATTCAGAATCCAAGAAAACCAATGCAAAGCCTGTGTACTTGGATGAGCAGTTGGATATGGCTCAGATGATGGCTCAGGCTACCCAGAATGCCTTTTCCTATGGCGTGGCTTACAACCTCAACGACTACCCAGCAGATGGGACAGTGTTTGACTACATGGCAGGCGTCAGAAAGGTAGAAATCCGTTTAATTATGTTGTTTCTCTAAGCTTTTAGAGAAGAAAAGGCTGAAGAATAATGGGGAGACAATCTCCTCTTGGAACACCCTAGGTGTGTTGGGAGTGTGTGAATTTAGGGGCTAATCATCCTTACTTGCAACTGAGAAGCTGAATTGTGAAGGACATGGCTACAAGATACTTGAGCCGAAGACATGTAAAGGTGCCTTAGGCTGCCGCCCTACGACCCATGTTTGACTACGGAGCACAGCCAGAGATCAAAAGTGTGTTTTGCAGAGGGAGGAAAACTGGAGAGCACAAAGAAAAAAAGCCTTGTGGTACAGGAGAGAATCAACGAATAAATCTACTCATATATGGTCCGTGACGGGAATCGAACCCGGGCCACATTGGTGAGAGGCGAGCGCTTTACGCTCATGCCACCCATACCACCATAAATGCTTGAATCTTGTGAACCTATGTGAATGCACACGCTCAGATTATTTTTCTCAAACTTTCCATAATGTATATCTAGATGCAAGACATTTCTATGAGACAGGTGTTTGATGTATCGTTGGAACTTTTTTTTCCTTCTTCTCAGATTCCATTTTCGTTTGCCATTGAGTTATGGGGCGAGGGAGACAGCAATAAAGTAAAATGCTTTGACCTGTTCAACCCTTCCCATGCGACTTTACAGGTAATCAAATCATAATGTAGTTATAGTTATTCTGTAGACTTTCTTGATCCAGTTTATTTATATTTATTTCAATATTGGGTTTTGCCCTTCACTGATGTACTTTCATAAGCACTGTGTACTTTGGATTGTTGTCTGAGAGATTTGGAGAAAAAAATCACAAATTTAATAAGAATAATAATAATAAGTGATGCTTTTATAACACTTTCCACCAAAAGTAGGTCTCAAAATGCTTCAAAAGTTCAGCAGGCCATCAGACCACTTTCCTGCAGATTAGATCAGCGCAATGTGGTCTCTATCCTCACAGGTACCCATTTATACTCCTGGGTGGAGAGAGGATATTGTAGTCAAGTGTCTTGCCCAAGGACACAAGTACCATGTTCCCAGTCAGGGTTTACTCAAATGGGACTCGAAATCACAACCTCCTGCTTACTAGTGCAGGAGTCTAAACCACTAGACCTCCAAGCTCGCTGGTTTGAACCGGCCAGCTCAGTGGTGGAGTTGTAAGACGTCCACAGTAGTAAGCAGGAGGTTATGGGTTTGAGCCCCACCAGAGTAAACTTTCAAACAAAATTCTTGCCAGCTTTTGGACAGCAGTGAGTGCAATACAAAATTGCATTGGTTAAGGGCATAACTCAATATTGAATTTACATCTTTCTTAAAGCTATAGTCCATCATTTGCAGCTATCCGAAAAGTAACTGGCGTAATTATTGTTGAAAAACATACTTGGTTGAAAGATAGTAAGGGGACTAAACTCCCTGTGAAATTATTCTTTCTGGCAAGCTGTCAATTTGAAGAAATCAACAAAAGAAGGCCTTTCCAATGGTGCTTCTTAAGACGCACCGTAGGAAATTCAAGTTGGTAGTTCATTTTGTTATTCGGCGAAGCGCGCGCCAGCATTTGCACGACGCATACATGCGCGTGGTTGCAATAATTCGTCGGATTAGTGCGCGACATCGCGTAGCTGCAGTCGGCTCGGTGAGAACGTGTATCGGACGCTGATTCAGGCCCAATTCAAAACATGATTCAGCAACTTTTGATTTGAAATCGAGATCCTAGAATGCTGTTTTTCTCGGAATATACAGCTGAAGCTGAGCTGAAACTTCGTCAGGTTAGTTGTTCAGTACCCTTCTTTAACATTTCAGCACTTTTGTTGCTTCAAACGAACAAAAATGCACAAATTACAAATGATGGACTATACCTTTAAATACTCGTCAATATTCTGTTTCAGTTATTTTCTTGAAGCTTCACCATCTCAAACAGGAGCATTTCTCAATATTCATATTGCAGGGTGCACTCCAAGATATCATGCCCATATACGACACGCTGTTTACATACATGATTCACTGGAAAGAAAAACAAGTCCATAAGTTGTTTCACCAAGACGAGGTAAGTGTGTAAGAAACTTAGTTATGGCTTCTGACTAGCGCCCCTTGAGTAAAAAGATTGACGAAAACTGGGAACTGCCAATGTAGGGTTGGATAGCTCAGCAATCCGGAGGTCATAGGTTCATACCCCACTCCAGTCAATATTTTTGTTGAACTTTAAAATAAAAGAAAGTTAGTGCTATAGATGTGGTCAAATAAACAATAATCAAATCTTCCCCTTGCACTATTGCACTTTAAATGATAATAAGCGTTACGAAAAAAAGGAGAGTTGTTTTTGGAGAGATGGGCATTAAACGTATTCAGCGCAGTGAACAGGTTTATCTAGATACCAGCGCTTTATACGTTTATATTTTTGTATATATTATGTTATATGCATAATGTGCATTAAATCACGTAATATGCATAGAAAATTAAAATTACCATGTAAATAAATCAGAATATCAAATCAAATCAGAATACCAAAAGCTAGCAATCATCCAATTTATAATCATGTAGAGGGTTGTGCATCGGAACCGAGCACCCGACCATTGATGTCAGGAACCGGTTCCAGATTATGAGATTCGGTACCCATAACCAACTTTACAAATTACTTCTCAGAAACTTCTCAGACTATGTTTGTGGGCAATTTTCAAAAATGAAAACCAAGCTACATGGGAGAACAAAACATATTTCACGTATACGACACTTGCAAAAGTTGCAGTTTACATGATAAAGCTATAAGCTCACTGTGCACACATATCTTGCTGTATTGACGCACCAATGTGGTAGTGTTATCTTACTAACCTTTATAAACAATCTGAACAAACAACTGAGATTTGAATTTTGGGGTCTGGTTTCTGTAACAGGTACCCAGGTACCCAATTTTTATTTTTTTTTCAATCGGATACCCGGTTCCTGTACTACCCGTAAATGCCCACCTCTAATGTAGATCCTGCAGTATGTTGGTCCATTTGTGCAAGCAAATTAAATTTCATGTCATGAAATTCACTGGACTTAACATGTCTTCAACTTTTACGCTATTCGCAGCTGAACTCAGATTTGATTTGTGACCAAATTTGTTTGGTCAAGAAGCTCAGCCTCACCAGTTTTTAGAAATGGAACATAGAATCTAGAAATTGAACAAAGAATGCCATGGTCCAGTGGTTACGGCGTTTGACTCATGTACGATCGTGCATGGGTTCAAACTCTGCCAGGAACATGGTGTTTTGCTCTTGGGAAAGATACTTCACTGCAATTGCCTCTCTCCACCCAGGAGTGTGAATGGGTACCTGTGAGGGTAGAAGACCGAATGTGCGCTGATATCGGCTGCTGCGTGGTCTCGTGGCCTGATGAACGGGGTATAATTGTAAAGTGCTTTGACAAGCGCTAAAATAAGCGATTTATAAGTATTACAATTTATTTATCTGATGTGTATTTTATCTTTTTTCAGGAGCCTGAGTTTGGTCTCCCATTTGGCTACATTTTAGTAGCCATCACCTTCTGCCTGTTTGTTCTGATGCTGTGCCACCAGTACAAGCCCTATGGGTTCCACTTCTACCAACGGAAGCGGGTCGTCAGCCTCCGTTCCCTCAGCTCAACGTTTGCGGCCGCCAGTGGCATCAAGATGACATGATGACAGTAGGAGAAATCCAAAGTGCAGTACGTCGCTAATCACTCCCCTTAAGTAATATAATAAACGAATATTCATAAAGTGAACATATTCGCCAGTATTGGTGTGATGCGAATGATGCGAATATGGAATACGAATGCGACTCGGATGAACTAGCTGGTTATATCACCATTTTGTGTGGTTATTACAACTACATACATCTTAACATTTTGATTTGAAATCCACATCGCCCATAGTGTGCCAGATGAAATATTTTTGCAAAATGGTGATTTTAACAAAAAAACTTTTGCCGAGTTGCATACGTATCCCATATGTATGCCATTTCTAACCCTCCTCTTGCTTAAGAGGTCACCAATGGTCAAAATTGTCTTCCTCACCTTGACCAGTATTGACCCATGTAATAACCAGGCTGACAATGCATGTTTCCATAGGAGGGCTAATGGTACTTATTAATTCAATTCGTCTCCGACACAACGAACTGACACTCTGTTGCGCATGATTGCGCGGCACACAGGCGTAGTTTAGAGAACCGGGTTATTTTTGTTTTCATGAACTGACACCCTGTACAGTGCAGCACTCTTAGTGCGCACTCCGTACATTGTAGTTTTCACAAACTGAGACTGATCTTAATTTCACCAGTTAAAACAGTATTTAATAAACATTTTGTGTAAGCCCAAAAGTATACAAATGGATTAAATTCATGTGAAACCTTTCAAAGCATTTTTCTCCGTCCTCTATTGCCGCAAAATGCTTGGGAGTCAGTTCCTGAAAACGAAAATCATCATATTGTGCATCAGTGTTAGTTGTGCCCACGCACTACCGGGTGACAGTTCGTGAAACAGAAATTGTTGTTAACGCGGTTTTCTTGAACTGACACCCACTTGCGCATGTGGCACCCGATATCATGGGCCTCTGGAGTGTTTTGCACTAAGTATTCATGAATGTCAAGAGCTTTAACCTGCTAAAAGGATGGGAACAATGAACCACTGTCAACAAAAAAGTTACCATTCATAAGATGGAATGTTGCATCAGGGTGATGTAAATCAAATTAGGTTTTGCCCTTCACCGACGTATAAACACTGTATACTCAGAAGTTACCGTTGACAAAAAGAGGCATCTGACAATAAAGTGCTGCAGTTTTACAATTGAAATAACATCACTGTCATGTGTGTACGTGCGAAGTTTATTATTTCTTTTCGAATACTCAAACCGGCAAAATTCTATTCGAATTATCGATTGATGATCGAATATCCAAATATTTGGGACAGCCCTACTCCTCATTGAACCTCATACAAGTTTTCCAAAGATGATCTTAGCTCTTCAGGGTACATCCAGCTCGCCACTGCCATTTCAGCCAAAACAGCTAAAATCTACCTCTGCCCTCACAAGGACCCATTTATTTTTGGATGGGGAGAATCGATTAGTGACAAGTGTCTCACCCAAGGAAACACACACACCAAAACGCCTCAGTCTGGACTCGAACCCACAACGTGTAGAATTACCCACAGCACCCAATGTCATGAAACAACTCGCAAGGTACGATGCGTCACAGCGCCACCAATTATCTTATCGCTGTGGTGCATCGTGACTGCAATGCGACTGTGAACCATTCCATCAAACTCATCCTAAGTGCGACGCGTCGTAAGTATATTTATTGAACAATACGGTATGGTAACACAACACAGTACATTAATATTTGTTCTTCAGGTAGCAGATAGACATCTGATTTTCTCGCAAAAAGTCTTCAACAAAATGGCAGACGTGTAATGCAGATTAACCAGTTCATGCTGGGAATATTTTGACGAGAACAGAGCGAGGCGCGGGATTACTTTTCACTCGACCTCAATGCCAGGCGGGTTGAAGCCATCACCCTCTGGCAGCACACTCATATTTCCGGCCTCGCTCACTGTGAGCGGGTCGCTGACAGATAATTCCGGCCTCGCTCCCTACGTGTTTATCCATCATCCATTCCGAATACCGCAAAAACTTTGCATGTAAACACATCATCCAGAGCGAAGTGGTTATAAGGAAAACAAGCTCGTAGTGGACAATTATCAAAATGGAAATTTTAAGAGCAATTTTCAAGGTAAACCATATTTACTTTGACGCGTAGTCCATTTATAACTATATTTTTATACGAATAATGAATGTGAACATTCCATCTGTCGCCGAAAGAAATCATTCTTTCCATTGCACGAATGTGAAACGTTCATTATTTGTTTTATACAACACCTAAATAAATCCTGATTATCTGATTGGTCAGACCTGCTGTGACCGTGCAATGGAACTTCCATTTACGATGAAATGGAACTTCTATTTTTGCCGTGCAGCCACACCGTGCAGCGGGACGAATAATTGAATGACACGTGATCAACGACCACAAATCAGATGACGGGGATTTATTCAGGCGTTGTATAAAACTTAATTACGGTATCGTTTGTTTTAATTGTTATGCCACAAAACTAGCTCAGAAAAGATTTGATGACCAAAAGACTTGTCATACCTTGCGGCACGTTTCAAGCTTTTGTCAAGGAACTTACGATGCGTCCACCGTATTGTAAGTTTTGTGAAATGGATTATATGACGTGTCACAGCTTTTCTTGAAATCGGGTGCAGTTTCTTGAGTTTCATGTTCCAGACCATTAGGCAATGGCACTCATTGCATACTTTGCATATTTTCCCCCGCAGTCCATCACCTTTCCGTTGTTTGTATTCAGAAGCAGCCTTGTTATTCATTAAAACAAAAAAAATTTGCGGTGAACACCATATTGTTTATGTCTAACAAACAGATTTTGACTTAAATCAATATTAGGTTTTTGCCCTGCACCGACGTATAAACACTGTATACTCAATGTGTTACCTCCCGAGTGAAAGTTGGAAAAACAATGAATATACAGTGTTTATACGTAGGGGAAGGGCAAAACCCTAATATTGATTTGCGTCATATCACCCCGACGTAAATTTGATCTTATGAATAGATTTTGACTTGTTCCATTGATGCACTTGAGAAAAAAATTGCTTCTGCATTGTAACCTCGTGGTGATGCAATGCACCGTGAATCGCTCTTATTCTTATTTATCTGTTGCCAGTGTCTTTCATAATGTTCTGCTAATGTTCATGGTCCCTTACCAGTGAAAATCCAAAATGGGGTCCTTTAGCCAATCGGCTCCATGTAGATTGTCACATGAGCTTGGCCACTTCAGTGTCAATTCGCCTACAGTGGTAAAAGGTTCTTATACATAGTAGCAACTTGTATGCGATGTATGAAGCTATTGAGTGCATGATAAAACAACTTGCTGGAATAAAATGCATTCCAGTCAAGAATTCACGGAATTTTAAGCTACCCAGGATGTAAATCCCTAGGGAATTGAGGGGATGTATCTGACACCCAACTTTTTGCACAGCAGGGGTAAGGGTGGGGGTGGGGAGGGAATTCGATCATCCCCCAGATTTTTGTGGTGAAAAAAAAAAATCTTTGTAGTCTAAAAAATACTGAAGATTACTTAAAAATACAAATTAATACCATGTGCCAGAGTCATATGGTTCCTAGCCAATCAAACTTCTTGATGAATTTTATTGTTTTCATCAACATATCATCAGCGACACCACGAAGTAAAACTCAATTGGACTTGAGTGCGCGCTACGTACGCATATTCCGAGTGATTTTCGTTTTCACTAAATTACACTCATCTTTATTTCACCAGATGAAGGCTTTTTATTAAAATATTCTGTAATCCTACAAGAATACAGATTAATTACATTCCTGTCAATCATTTTAAAACGTTTTTATCCAAATGGTTTTTCCGTAACAGTGTTATAATTTTGTGAAAACGAAAGTTGTTTGCGCCAGTGTCCGATGTGCGCACACACACTTGAGTTTTACTTGGTGAAACCAAATTTTGTCATTAAGCGGTTTTCACGAAGTAATACTGAAGTGGACTTGCGTGTTACTTCGTGATGTCGGTGATGGGGAACACTTTTTCCCCTTGTGGAAAAAAGGGGAAAGGGTCATGTCCAATAGATCCCTTGCGTGGTGCCCCCTCTCGGAGATAAGGTCTGTCCTCCTCCGTGAGTAGCCACTGTCTACTTTCAGTGCCACTGAACTTAAATAACCTAAACTGCCCTGAGTGAGGGCGCTCTGATCACGGTGTCTATGTAGTAAAAGAACTTCGTCTATTAAATATAACATCAGCGAGCAGTGTTTTTACACCAGCTTGCAGAAAATCAGCAATACATTTCATCAGTATCAAATATTGTTTGAAAATGTCTTATTAACTGGCTGTAAAATTTGGACAATGAATTTGCTACCAAATATGTGTGTGAAAAGTTTTTGTTATGTAAATTAAAATGTATGAAAGAAAACTTCCTTGGAAATGCATTACTGATATTTTAGGGGCAGTGTGTACGTTTATCACTCGGCCACTCTGTTATTCAGCTTGTTCTTATTATTTTATAATCGAATATTTATTATACTTTTACATTTTTGACAAGTGCAGCGCAAGCGCAGCCCTATTGTCCAAAAGGTCACGTTTTAAAGAAATCCCAGTTTCAAACTGGTGACAAGAATTTGAAGACGCCGGTTTTGCATGAGGTGTACACCTCGTATGATATGAGAAACCTCACATGAAATAATTTATAATTATCACATTGACGTTGGAATGTATGACAGTGTGAGTGGTAATTTATCTTTTTTTAACTTAAAGGGAAGATACAACATTTGCAAACATCAAAGAACGGAATGATCAAATTATCACGTAATACCTTACTGAATTGTTAGGGAATGACAGTCTAAAGCATCCTTTAAAACCATGGCTCCTGGTGTGCTGTCATTTTCAAGAAAAACTGTATTTTTCCAACGCTGGTCGGCTGACCAGCGTTGGAGAAAACTGGCTTTTTTCAAAAACTGCTCCTACTTTTTCATATTTAGTTATTCTGACTTTTCTTTGCAATTGATTACACACCTGTGAAGGGGTTCAAGCTTGCTAGACTGATTCTCTAACCTTACAGTTCCCCAAAGTGTATTAATTGCTCCGTTTCATCTTAAGTGGGGTCAGGGAACCAGACTACAAGAATATGATAGGTTTTCTTGGTTTTTCCAGCATCTACAAGCCCAAAACGTGAATTAAGTCAGTTTAACAATATTTTCTATAACATACTAATCCTCCAAATCCATTTATTTCTGAAAATTGCAGCAAAAGCAAATGTTGTACCTTCCCTTTAAGTCTTTGAAGTATAACATAACTATCAATGACATTTTTCAATACCGGAATTGCAAAAGATGCAGTTTTGTATATAACTGCAAGTGTATCGATTTTGTTGTGTGGGTTTTTTTTTGTCAGTCTATTCACATGGGTTTTGATATCCATAGCCATGTGTACAATGAACAGAGGCATGAGTACTATGGTGCAGTAACAATGTACTGAATGCTGACTGAACTTCAATGCAGCAATCCTGCATATTCCCATGGGTCATTGTGCTTCTTTTTTTTGTGTGAACTATACAAGAATGTAGTGTAACTGTTACAGAAACGGAGTTCACAAAAGTTGAAGGGCATTGGATGGCATCAGCGGCAGCAGTCACAGCCCCAAATTTTTCTCCATAATGCATTTTGTCTTCCAAAAAGTACCAAGGATTCAGAATTAGTTTATTCTACTTTCAATATTTTTGTTTCAATTTTTTTTTTTTTTCGTTTTAAAAGCAGGGTTGATCAAGGATTACAGATGAATGGAGTGTTTGTGATATTGTTTTCCTTTACGTCCGAGGACTTGGGACAGTGGGCTACATGCAATAACAATAGACCATTATCATGTTTCGACAATCTTGATTTTTCCCATTCAAATCAACGTAATTAACCAAAGCGAGGTTGGAAGGACAAATAGTCTGGTTCCCAGTTGCACAAAAACATTATCATTCAGTACTGTTATTGGATACTGGGAACATGACTGAAATGGTGGCAGCATGATAAAGGTCTATAACTCTGAGGACCTGAGCGAAGTCCTCGGGAGGTTTTCGTGTACAAACCTTATGGGACATGTTAAGAAAAACTTGAAGTCCAAACAATAAGAACAAAAGAAGGGAACGATATTATAGTCCTCACAAGTTTAGTCAAACACTGCCAACCTTGCCATCTTTGTGTGGAACCTGAAAAGAAAACAGGTCCACACACGATGCAGGTTGTGTGAACCTTCTGTGGACTAAGCCAGGTCCACACAAGGTTTCCCCCTCTGGAAAACAGGTTTAGAGGCATTTTGGGGCTAGGGTTATAAAGAGGAACACTCAAGGAAATCATGATTAAAAGTAATGTAAGTTGTTTTTCTGTGGTTTTTCTTAACTACATGAAGACAAAGGGGGTCTACCTGACGTTCCCCCGAATCCTTGAGGTGAGGGTTAGGGTTGGGGAACATAGGTACATTTGTATTAGGGAACAAAGGTATATGCACCCAGACAAAGGAATGTCCACGCTGTACGTATGTATGGTACCGTTACTGATTGGTAGGCCTGTGTGTGTTGAGGGGGTGTTTAGTAGTAATCTGTGTGGTGGGTTTTTCATTGTTAAGACCGAGCTGTGGGGACTCCAGCGTCTCCACAACGTCTTTGGTCCCCACATTAACAATTGCCAATCGGGTGTGTGGTCCTCACAAGTACAGAACAAGTGGATAGGTGTGTGCGAGGGGGTGGTCTTGGTCTCCAGAAACGAGAGGGGCTTCCATTATTTTAAGATGAGCTATGAGACCATTAATTAATCATTTTAGTCTTATGTGTTGTCATATCAGAATAGACGGGGCATCACACCCCTTCCATACCACCTGTTGACATCTTGCTAGATGTACTGTTCCATCTTACTAGACTTTTCATTTTCTGTTTTGTTAAATTTCTTGTAAATCCAGTATTACACTTTCGAAATGAACATGTCAAAGTGTCACTCAGATTTTTAACTTGAACGTTTTTTGTAATAATTTTTAATTCTAAATTTGATAAGGAAACAGTTTTTGAAGAAAAAAATGAAATGTTTCAGAAGTATCAGATATTTAACTGTGACTGGATTGAATTTTATATTTTACATGTGATTGATTTAATGATATTGATTGAAAAACAAAATATGTCAACAACTTTTAGCCTATATGTGTGATATAATTTCCATTGTTCAGTAAGTCTTATTGCAACTTGTGAAGCCTTAACACCAATACTGAATATATAGGTGGTTGGGGATAACATAAAATAAGCGTTTATATGCCTGACCCACCCTCAAAAATATGTTGCATCTTTTGTTCATAGAGAAAGACGGTACACTGTTGGGAAAGATTTCCATATACGAAGTTCACTCAACACCGGCCCTGTGTACAAACCCTATGAGATTGGACTGAAAAATTCTAAGTGTTTTCTAAGAAAATGCTTGTATTTTCTCACTGCTCAAATTGACTTTGATGACATGAAATTGCTATCTGGGGGCTTGTTAGTCAATACAGAGGAAATTAGTGAACTTCGTATATGGAAATCTTTCCCGCGGTTGAAAAATCAGATTGACAAATTCACAGGTTTTTTGTTTCTTTTGTACGTTTTCATAATAATTTTGTCATTGACGAAATTAAAACTGATTATATTGCAAACAAATTCGATCTTTCGAGTGTGGTCTTATAGCATATTTACATACAGTGCTGAGTGCAGCAGATTGGTAATAAGATTGTTTATTTGATGATAAAGGCGTGAAATTTGGCACATGCACAGTCAGAGTATGTCATGGGAAAGATATTTGGCTATAGGGCCATCGCAGATTTGTCCTGTGAAAAAAAATATCACAGGATAACAAGCAATTTTCAATCCTGCCATTGCATGTTATCCTATGATATTTTTTTCAAAGGACAGATCTGCGATGGCCCTAGTATAACCAAATGTCTTTCCCATATGATACTCTGACTCTGTGCCAAATTTCAAGTTTTATCATCAAATGAACAATTTCATCGAACCGTGCACCAATCTGCCATACATACACATGTAGGCTATACATCAGCTTTCCCAACCATTTGTGACACGACCTAGACATTCCCCGGAATTTAGAAGAATAAAAGACTACCATTCGATCAATTTGAAAAATGACTCCCCTTTCAAGCGCACCCACAGACTAGCACCCACAGTGCAGAAAATTCAATAGTGTTTAAGGTCACGAGCCGGTTGACCCGCTCTGTGGGTTTTGACAGCGAATATCACCCACTCAAAGAACTTGCAATTCAAAGGCGGGCTTTTCTTCACTTTATGACCCGTTTGAGTTGTCACCTTCGAGATTCATACACTATAGCCGTACTTTTCATGCACCATTAATTTTGTTTTTCTATCCTAAAATGTAACTCCACTTTTGCTTTTAGAAAAAGACCAAGACAATTTTAGTCAAGTCGGCTTCAAGTCAACGAAGATACTTGAGTCATGTGAAAGGAAGTTCAAATAAGTATAGATGGATTGCATTCGGCGGCCATCTTGGAGGTGTGTTTTGTTATGTTAATTCATTAACAATGAATGCACTCGAAGGCTACTCGCACCTCAAAGATGGCTGCCGTGCAAACGGTCTATACTTGACAATTAGTCTCCTGTTTAGAGAAACAATAGCATGCGGCAGATCAGAATGTCGAGTTTTGGTCTTCACAGTTTCTCTAAACCTCTAATTTTAAGGCTCTTTAAACGCAATTCACGGCAATCCCTGTCATGCCCGTTCCTTTCGCCTCGGAATAAAAGTGGAACAGGTGTTTGAAGGTGGAAGGCAAGTTTCTTTCGATTGAGTTGTAGTCATGGCGGGACAAGCTACACTCGATCAAAAAAGAAAGTCCCCCTTAATACTTTTTAGTCTAACTCAAAAACTACTGGGCACATCTTGCTCAAATTACGACTGATCAGTACAGAAATTCCTTAGCAATCCAGCCATACTTCTCGTTTGGCCCAAAACAGTGATAATGTGTACACAATTATGCAATTTATGACAAATGGTACAGGAAAAAAAGTTTCACTTTTGTATACGTGCAAAGTGAGTGTGAACCACAGCTGGCACGAAAACAAAAGTGCAACTGTTTTCGGTATCATTTTGTCATACATTGCATAAATTCGTACACACTATCACTGTTTTGGGCCACATTAGGAGTATGGCTGGATTGCTAACGAATTTCTGTACTGATTAGTCATTACTTGAGCGAGAGGTGCGCAGTAGTTTTTGAGTTAGACAAAGGAGTATTGGAAGGGGGGCCATTCTTTTTTGGTTGAGTGTATAATCCTTTCCCTCGAAGTTGAAAATACGATCGATCCACAAGTGCGCCGACGTTCGTGAACGATCAAGCTGGGACCGATAGTCCTCTATATCCTAATCCCAAGAACTGCAAAATCCTAACATCTCCATTATGTAGAGGACTTTGAAATTGGCACTGAAGCCGAGGCCTCGGTGCTGTCTTTTGCTGAGGGGATTAAACAAGAAAAAAGTCCGCAGGCTCAATTCATACAATGGCCTTGGAGCGCAGCTAGCCTCATCGGTTTCAACGCTCATTTAAAATCCGTCTACATGTATTGGGTTTGCTGGATTTTAATGGCTACGGGATCAACCCATAAAGAGTCCACGCCACTGTCATTTGTTAATACGGGACTTAATCGTGACGTCTGAATTTTGATTTGATTTGATTTATGGCATATTCACGAAGGTTCCCCAGAAGAAAAATGTTATAAAGGTGATTGTTCAAAAAAGGTTTAAACTGTAGAATATCAAACAGTTTCATTTTAAAGCCGTCATAAACGTCGTGATTCAATCAACTGAAATCTCTTTGGGTGTTGTTTGGGGAAACTTTTGGTGACGTTTCATCAAGGATATGCATCGGGAGATATAAAAAAAACTTGCCAAAGTTACAAACACTGTTGATCGTCCTCTCCGCATATATTTAAAATTGAACTTCGGATATTTTTTAAATAGATAAAACATTTCTGTAGTAAAATTTGTACATTTCAAACAAACAAAAAACAAACTAAATATAACACAATTTCTGTTGTCAAAAATGACAACTCGTCCGGGGAGGGGCAACAGACAAGACTAAACAAAAAAGGACATTTACATTACATATTAAAAACAAACATCCAATCTCCATCATTATCCCGTAAAACGGCGTGATTTTACACGTCCAGAAATGGAAATTTCAGTCCAAATTAAGTGTTATATTCATAATTGTTGCCCTTTTAAAAGTAATGTTAACCTCATTACAAATTCAGGATAATGTACGATTCGTAAATTTTAATCAAATATCTTAAATTTGTTAATAAAAATCGTGGGATCCGCATTCAATCTCATACCCGACCTTTTGTCTCCGTGTCAAAGGATGCATGTTTAGTTGAAAATAATAAATCAACAAGTTTAAAATAAAAAGTCGAAGACGATTTCTGTACTAATTCAGTCATATTTCAATTTTGAAATGACATGCCTGAATGACGTATGCTTTTGCTTTGGAAGTGTTTTGTGAATTTCTTTCCTTAATTTCAATAATTCTTGTTTACATTATTATTAATAAATGACCAGAATTAGTCCTTCGTCTGATAACAATCCAACGTGCAAATTGGGAAACATGGACTGTGGCCTGATGAGAGAGGTTGAAATTTTGCAACTCAAAGTTGTCCTGGAATTAGCTTGCGTCCCACACTAAGTTCGGCTTCGCCGAGTCCTACCCGCTGTCCGTTCTCCATCACCAGCAGTTCCTCGGGAGAAATCTGGAGAATGTCGGCAATCGTGGTGAGCAGACTGCATCGTTTATGCCGCACCAGAGTGGTGGCATCTTGAGAGAGCAAGAGGCAGGCACGGCAAGGCCTACCTTGCGAGTCTCGCCGGAATCTCACCCTGGCCACGTCCATGTAGAGCAGATTGTAGACGTGGGACTGGAGAGACATGACCCAGTTGATGTGGAGTCCCTCCGTGGTGGTGAAGAACGACCTGAAGACGCAGATGAGCAGGTGCGTCTTCAGCTCACACAGGTGGGTCATGGGAGGCACTTGGATGTACAGCTTCACGTAGACATTGGGGACATACCTGGAGGCAACACTGATGTACGCATCCGCTTCGTAGTCGTTCCTGGGAGGAGTCCACCTCGGTGGAAGTTTGACATGAATGTAATTATCAGGCCATTCGAATGGTTCGTCAACACAGTCATCATCTGTGGAATGTGTCTCCCGCTTCCCCCTTCGCTGTTTTCCAGTTCGTTTATGGCAAGTTTTGTCATCACTATCAAGATCATCTTTGGAGCCTGTGAGGAACCCGAGTATTTTCGGTCCGTGTTTGTGATTCGGCGACCGAACAGCGAAGCTCACTTTCTTCTTCTTGTTCCTAATGATCTTTGGTATTCTTTTGATGCTACTCGTCCTTCGTTTCATAGTGCTTTTGGGTACATCACTCTCGTGTTTTTCCAAGCAGTTCCCGTTGATATTTCCGTTGGGGATTCTGCTGCAGGTCGAGTACTCACTAGACAGGGGTTGGTTGATAAAGCTGCTTGACTCGGCTTCCTCCGTGCATCCATCCTCCACAGAATGGTTGGAGAACCTTGTGCATGCACAGTTGCCGTGATCTAACTCCTGGATCAAAACTGCTTCGATGATTTCTTCCTCGTCCTCTTCCTCGCTGTCCGACTCAATTACCACCAAGCTGTCCGAAGAGGTGTTGCTTACACGGTTTTCCATTTCGTCACCGGTTTCACTACCGCGTTGATGCGAGCTTGGCCCTGGGGGAACTGTTATGGGCACGCTGGTGCAAGAGTATTCCGTCCCGTCAGAAGTGTAGTGGAAAAACGTCACTTCACCGTGCGGGCTTTCTTCTACCAGTTCCGGGTGGGTTTCTGGATTGTCGGTCGGACTAGGAGAGACATCGATGGGAGAGAACGAACTCATGTCCTGTAGCTCAACGTGGTCAGACGGCTGCGGCTGTTTCAGACCCACCAGGACATATTTCAACAGTTTTTGCCAGCGAGCCAGCCTACCGCCCGCCATGTCATGGTTCTGACCCTTGTTGTGAGTGCCACCATTACCGCTTGTCTGATCGGCTGCACTAGCGCCGCCACCGTACGGAGACGCTCGTTTCTTTGAAGCGGAAAGGCTGGCAGTTTTGGCATTCTTTCCCTTGTTCAGTGGTATCCCTTTGGTTTTGGAACCTGATACAGGTGCAGCGTAATCCTCATTATTCGGGATGACAATGGGCCGTTCTGCTGCCGCTTGAGTAACCCCCGGGCATGTCGGTTCATTCTCCTCTGAATACTGTCGCCAAATCGATGCCATGACACTGGGGACAAACAAAGCGGCAGAGGTACCGGGTGTTTTTTTGAACCGGGGCTGCAGGATCGTTGGGAAGCCGCTGTCAGTTGAAGGTTGGAAAACATCTAGAAGGACACTCTTTAAATGCCCAGACCATTGATCGGATGTCCTCACGGAGGGAAACCCCAAGTCAAAACTGTCTATCCAGCCAGATGAGCCGATAGCAGTGCTGGAGCCAGGACCGCAACTGGCATTATTAATGTAGTAATAAGATTGGGGCCTCTGTAGCTCAGGAATCAGATCTAGAACGGAGGGATTCGCGCCGTATGAGAACCCCGGAGAATCGTGTCTCTCTGCAATCGGTTGGTTGTCATCGATGATGGCTTCTAAGATGGGATGGTTTCCCTCCAAGTGAGGGTGATGACTCGCCTCGACCGCGTCGATGTCCGGGGCAGATGCTCCCCAGCTCCCTGCCGCCACAAAGCCCGCACACTCGGGCGAATCGTGGGTTGTATTCCCGCTGGTCGTGTCTTGTTCCACAAGTTCAGGAAGGTGACTGTGGACCGCGGGTATCGGGTCAACAGGCAGGTGGGGCAGGTTGGGGTGGTACAGTGTCGCCACGGAGCCCAGCCGGGAGGGCCCAACGAGATGTCGCCTGCTGTCGCTGATTTTGTAAATGACCCGTTTATCTCTAGTGACACCTTTAGGACGGTCACTTGAAGCCATGCGTTGACGATGACAATTTCATTCTGTTCATGACAATGAATGATAAATACCGATTACGGCAAAGAAACCAAGTGTACAAAAACATTTCTTTCTTATAACTATTATAGTTGCGGACTCACAAAATATTCCCTATTTTATGAGACAGTGCATTTTCACCAAAGCCCCTCCCTCCCTCCCAAAGAAAAAAAAAAGGGGGACAACATGATTGTCAAATTCTTTTGACGTTTTATTGCGGCCAAATCTCAGCTGCCTGCTATGTGTACTTTTTGTGCACTGTATACATGAAACCGTGCCTGACAAAAATCGCAATGAAAGACCAATTTGCCCCCGAATCAGGCATTATAGTTTCCATGTGTAATGTATTATTTGATTATCATTATTTTCTTGGCCAAATGACTTCGATTGTGACAGTTATTTGCTTCTTGGAACATCCTGGGAGGTGTGCGTATCCACTTGTTCGGCCATTTTTGGGAGTTTTGTGTTCGGAAAATATAGTTTGGAGAAGTGAGTCCCTTTGTAACTCGAATAGTATTGGAAAGCACGAGAGGAGGGAGGGGAGCGGAGCGGACAGAACACCCATGAAAATGTTGGCGTTTCAGGGTCTTCGGTCTACAGTGAAACTTTTGAACTTTTGAGGGGTTGGGATGGGGACGGGGGATGTCCACTTAAGTTAACTCCAAGAACAAACGTGGATCTTTAGGAACGTGGAAGGGGTACAAGTTTGGACTTAATTGAACTAATTAATGAAGTTGCGCTACCGCCTCGTCGCTTTACTTTGCGTATAGAGGCAGCCGCAGAAAAGGGAGTGGGTCGTGTCATTGTTGTGTTGCCTGCATTGTACATGTGCTGTGGGGCGGGAATTTGGGCTTTAATAAAAGTTCAAGGAAAGTTCAAGGCTTAATAAATATAATAGACGCACCAGGCACGCGATTTTGTGCCCGTAGGCTGGTGAATCTGTACCATGAATAACGCAGAAGATTTATTGGGAAAATCATCAGGGGCGGATCCAGGCATTTTTGCAGGTGGGGTGGGGGGGGGGGGGTTCATCAGCAAACTGAAATGTAAACAGGTGTTTTTTTGTCCGGACACTTGGCTCCGTAAAATCAATCATGAGGTGTGTGTGGGGGGGGGGGGGGGGGGGGGGAGGGGCCGGAGGGGCCCGCCTCGGGGCCAGAGGGGGGGGGGGGGGGGGGGCTCGTACCATACTTTCAATGTTAAAATCCGACGATTCTGAACACTATATTACAGGAGAGTGTACAAATACACCCTAACCAGGCAGGATCTGTCCGTATTTTGGGCACAGGCGTATAGTACCAGTATAATTTTTTGGGGGGTGTCAGAGCAGGAGGGGGGGGGGGGGTGTTACCATTATTTTTTATGAATTTCTATGGAAAGAAATTATAAACATTTTGACAGAGCTGGGGGGGGGGGTTACCCCCAACCCCCCGGATCCGCGCCTGATGAACAATGAGTCAACACCATTTTGAAACAATGTAGGCTACACTGCCTGAGTATTTCAAAGAATCGATGTCGTCAAGCTTCCATAGCTTATACTGGACAAATGACTGGATAGTGAAATGAACTATGGATCGAAAGATAGGATCCCTGATGAATCGAATGATCAGTTATAAACTTATTTCTTCGGCCACTGTTCTCCAAATTTATCATTTGATATTTTTCATTTAAGGGAAAGGCTCAAAGAACCTGCAATTCGCCCGCCTAGAAAAAAAGAGAGAGATTGTGCATGCAGTGTATATAGGGCCCATCTATTAGATTCAAGGGTGTTTTTATTATTCCAAAATGATTTTTTTTTTTCAATCTAAAGCAGACTTCTCTTTATATTTCTAATGACATCATTTTTGGGGGTAAATTTGAACGGTTTTTGCGGTACTCAATGCGATATTCTTACGCCCAGCACGTCCCCTCCTCCGTGGCCCCGCCACTCCCATCGAGATCACTAAAAAAAACACGTCAGTTCACGAAAATTCTTTGGAAACCTCACAAAATGATTCCTTTCAGCATCATCAAATAAAATATGTAAAAAATAAAGTTCATGCTTGTACTTCATTAATTTTTTTCCTACAGTTTCTTACCTGAATTGAAGAGGACGAAGTACAAATACAGTCATTTTATTGGTTGAAAGTTTGACGGTCTGAGGCGGTCATCATCGTGCATTGTGTGCGCCCATTATGTTTGGAAAAGAATCTCACCGCGCTTGTCATTACTGGAGAAGAGAACTAAGTTGGCTGTTCAAACAAATTTGCCTGCGTACCACGTGTGTGAGTGGAATCTGGATTTTCAAGAGAAATTACTGGAAAATATAGCTGAAATGGCGTCCACTGATGTGATCAAACAAGGTCAAAATGTGATTTTGAAAAAGGGGAAGAGTTTAAGATTGTATCAGGTGTGGAGGAAAAGGTAGGAAGCGTTTAACTTTTCCGATGTTTATGTTTGTTAGCGTTCATTATTCAGAAATTCCCTTCACCAGTTGTGATATTACACATGTATCATTGTCACGCCCCAACTATCGCATCGGTCCCAACTATAGTTAGGACTGTCCCAACTATAGTGCGGCAGTTGGGTCGGCCCAACTATAGTTAGGACTGGAGTTGCGCCGGATGCTTCATGCTTGATAGATCTTGTTGGATTAAATGTTCCGCGGCGCTGGCACCGTGTATTCGTCGTGCATGCATGCCGCAAGGCTGGCCGGTCACGTGGCACTGCCTAGTTGGATGAGTTGTCCAGCTGCTGGGTTTTATTATCCAGCAACATTTTGCAAAATTCAAAGATTGCCATGGCCGGCCAACTATAGATGGGCCCCACCCGTACCCATAGCTAATGTCAAAGGTCCCAAGTCGGACATGTAAGCAGAGCTGTAGGGAATGTTTTATAATCGTACATCAATGTAAACTATAGTTGGGACTGCCAAATAAAAATATTGCGGTGGCCCAACTACAGATGGTCCCCACCCATAGATCATTTCATTGGTCCCCAGTAAAGTCAGATGTGTATTAGAGTTGTAGGGAATGTTTTATAATCGTACAACAATGTACACTATAGTTGGGACCGCAAAATAAAAAGATTGGGGTGGCCCAACTATAGATTCGCCCCATCAATAGCTAATTTCAGTGGTCCCCAGTAAAGTCAGACGTGTATCAGAGCTGTAGGGAACGTTTTATGGTTGTACATCAATGTAAACTATAGTTGGGACACCGCAAAATAAAAAGATCGGAGTGGCCCAACTATAGATGGGCCAGCCCAACAATGGAACTTACAGTTGGGACCGTCCCAACTATATTTGGGACAGGCCCAACTATAGTTGGGCCAGCCCAACTGTGGAACTACAGTTGGGACAGGCCCAACTATAGTTGGGACAGGCCCAACTATAGTTGGGACCGATGCGATAGTTGGGGCGTGACAGCATCAATGGTAAAAAGTATATTTTTAACACCCCTCTGTTTCATTACTTCTAAAACAGTTTTTATAGCACCATCAGAATCATCTTGTGCAACCTCAAGCAATCCCCCTTTCCACTAGTTTCAAGATTTTCAGCAGTATTTTGACAAAAACAATTGTCAATGACTGTCAATGACTTAATTAACATGATTAATAAATCAAGTTTCTTTGGAAGTGTATATTTGGAGTAATTGCAGAATACCCAGCCGCTCGAAGATCACCCCTTAACATGCAATGGATACGTTGATGAAGGCGCCATTGTTTATGATGTTCCATCTTCTTTTTGATTAAATGAAAAATTGCAGAATGCAGATTCGGTTACCACGCCCCCCATAGACTTATGTGCATTCATTGTTTATCTCCCGATAACTAAATCATTGATCTGATATGCACACATGCGTAGTTGAAGTTTTGAAAAGGCTTTTTTGGTGACAAGTGGTTCCGATGTAGGAGTGAATGTGATACCTCCACTCATCACAATTGCTTTAATTTAATTAAAGGCCCTTTATCACGGTAAAAAAAAGGGATTTTATTTTATTTATCCCATTGATATTACAGTCGAGTCTCGTTAATACAAACTCGTTCGAACCTAGACAAATTGTTTGTTATATCACATAAATGCACAGTCGGGACTAAGGCTTTATGTTTGTTATAACCAGAATTTTGTATTAACAGAGTTTGTACTTACGAGATTCAACTGTATATATTTTGTATTTATAGGAGAGTACATTTGGACAAGAAGCATTTCTTCCTGGATGAAGCTATCGGCAAACCATATGGGACAACATGGGATGTACACGGCCAAAATGTTTGTCTGGTCACACCAGATGAGGAGAGGGATGAAGATGTCAGAGGTCAAGGGTTATTCCATTTCATTGTCAGGATGCATTCAATTTACGTCAATGGGTAGACCCTAACCCCCATCAGCTAACCCCCATCTGCTAAATGCAACAGAATGCAACATAGCCAAAATTAGCCCCATAAATGTGGCCAGTTTACTGGAATACCTCCGTAAATAAAGGCCACACTTCCACCATGTACAAAAACATGTTGAACTTTGTCAAATTTTGATTTTCACATTTAGGCTTAGTTTGTAGTTTGTAGAAGTATACTCACCCTCTTTATAGGATAATCAGAAAGTGCTGTCTTTTTCAGATGTCTAATTTTCGTGAAATTTCATGTTGAAATTTTGATACGCAAACGTGTGCAAACGAATCTGGAAATTTTACGAAAAACAGACATCTGAAAAAGGCAGCAGTTTCTGATTAGCCTTTAAAGAGGGTGAGTATGCTTCTACATGTGTACAGCAACAATAAACTACAAACTAAGCCTATATGTGAAAATCAAAATTTGACAAAGTTCGACATGTTTGTATACATGGTGGAAGTGTGGCCTTTATTTACGGAGGTAGTCCAGTAAATTGGCCACATTTATGGGGCTAAGCCAAAATGAGAACCCTGCTAAATGCAACAAACTGCAACAAACTGCAACAGTGGGTTCTGTTGTATTAGGCTTGGCACGATGCAGTTAACCTGCTAAATGCACAAAAACTGCAACAGTGGATTATGTTGTAAAACATTGGCAGTATGCAGTTACCCTGCTGAATGCAACATACTGCAACAGTGGGTTCTGTTGTATCAGCCGTGGCACTACATACAGTTACCCTGTTAAATTCAAAAACTGCAACAGTATTGGATTATGTTGTAAAACATTGGCACTATGTAGTTACCCTGCTAAATGCAACAATACTGCAACAGTAGATTATGTTGTATCAGCATTAGCACTATACAGTTACCGGGCTAAATGCAACAAACTTCAGGTGATTCTGTTGTTTGCGCAGCGAACCAAGAATAAACCAGCCTTGGCACCAAGCAGTTACCCTGCTAAATGCAACAAACTGCAACAGTGGATTCTGTTGTATCAGCCTTAGATCTATGCACCTACCCTGCTAAGTGCAACAAACTACAGTGGATTATGTTGCATGACTCAGTGAACCAAGTATAAACCAGCCTTGGCACTGTGCATTTACCCTGCTAAATGCAACAGAATGCAACAAGTTTGTATCGTTGTTGCTTTCTGTTGCATTTAGCATGGTTCGGGTTGTGTCTCAAATACTGCACTTCATCTGTATTGTGAGCCACTCAGTGATGCATGCTAAATATCCTGAAAAGGTTGTGTTCCCTGAGTTTGAAATTTAGACTGTTTTTCCACGTGATATTCACTATGGAAGCTTCCTACCTGGTTAAAAAAAAGCAGGGGAGAAAATTCAAATTTCCTACCTCTAGACATTTTAAGTTATCCTGTAATTTTGATGGAAAATTATGAGAAACTTTGTCCGAGATGGATTTTTACAAGATAACTAGAAATGTCACTGCTTAAAGGTGTAGTGCTCTTTTTTTGGGTGGCAAAATCATAATTTTCAGGATTTGTCCCAAAATCCCCAGAAATTATGGTGCCACTATAAATGCGCTGCGTTCTTTCATGCAAGAACTATCCAAAAAGTTCCCCCAACCAAACTTTTCAGATGCAGCCTCAGTTTGTCAGTGATTAGATAAGGACAGGTCAATCGGAGGACGGTATTGGGATTCTTCAGGTCCAGCAAAAAATCCTAGAGGGTCACTTGAGGAAAATCTGAAAATCTGAATAATTGACCCAGTTATGAGGTTCAGTGCTGTAACAGAATGCATCTATTGTAGAATAGTACATGTATTAACTCTCACACGCAAACATACATAAATTCTTTGCCAAGTTGTCCTTGCCCTCAAAATCAATCAAGTTATTGTTTTCAACAGTTAAGAACTCCCAGGCTACAGTAGGATTGACTGGCTGTGACTGTTTATATAACTTGATACAGCTTTGCTTTGACTGTAGGTGATTGATAAGCCAGCTGTGCCTACCACTTGCCTGCTTTTGTCTATAGACTGAGTTTGACTTTATTTTGATTTCTGTGTGTTTTCTTTTCCAGAGGGTGGGACTGACAACCGTGGAATAAATGACGATACGCGCTCACAGAAACTCAGTGATGAGGACATCAAGGCGCTCAAGAGCAAAGGCCAGCACGGAGCGGTAAGAGAGTATTCTAGTTATGTAACCAATGGTGTATGACTTATTTTAGAAACAGAAACCCATTTCAGAGTCCCCTGATCCAAAATGTATTTAGCTTGACTCAAGCTGACCCGAAAAGAATTGGTTTTAGACAGGGTAACTTCCTGCGCTTCCCCCCCCCCCTCCCACCCCCTGGGCTGGCAAATTCAACAAAGCTATCCAAGCAGTCAAAATCAATCAAGTGACTTTTTTAACAGTTGAGTGCTCCCTGCCTTCATATTAAAGCAAGATTGACTGGCTGTAACTGTTTATGTAACTGAATACACAAGATTGATAAGCCAGCTGAACCTGCCAGTTGCCTGCTCTTGTCTGTTGATAGAACTTGACAAGTCAGAGTGCCTACAAAAAATATTACCTAACTGTATGTGACTAGCCCGTGAACAGGAGCATCGCCATGGGGGTGTGACCCCCCCCCCCAGAACCTGTGATCTTGCAAGGCAGTGTTGTAGAACGTGCCACTTGTTACAAATATATATGGGGGGGGGGGTCGTAATTGACGATGGAATTGATTTGGTGTGAACATGTGGATTTCATCGTTAAATAAAATAAATTCTTGCATGTCTGTTTCATGAAACTAAATTTGTTTCATGTTGATCATAGAATGTTGGCAACATTTATGACGCTGCGTTTGCTAGTGTTTGGGGCTACTGTCTGATTTATTGGGGTGGAAATGTTGGAGAATGTGACAAAGAGTGCATAGACAGAATTGTAATACAAGCAGGAAGGATGCTTGGGAAGTCGCGGCCGTTAGTGGACACAGCATATGAGGATCTGGTGATCGGCAAGCTCACTATGCTACTGAATGACAAAAATCACCCCATTCATGACAGGCTTACTGAACACCTGATCCCAAGGTCTGGTCGTATGCGGGTGCCATATGCTGTGACACACCGACACCCATCCTCCTTCATTCCTCATGCAATAAAAATCACAGTTAATGTTCCAACATTAATATTAAATTAAACAGACCAGACACCAAGTATTATTTATAATATGCTTATCATTTAATTTAATTTCAGTTTACATTAATTTTAATTATAGCTTAAGGAAATTTTAATCATTTTAAATTGTTCATGTAATTGTACATGTTTTCGTTTTTATAATATGGCAGTGTTTTTACTGCATGCAAGCTTTTTAATTTACCCTTGTGGAATAAAATAAAGATTACTTGACTTGAAGGCTTTTAAAGATACATGTTTACATTTGGAATTGCATGTAGATTAGGTGTGTGTTTCAAAACCTCTCTAATTCACAAAATTCAATCCATGCCTTGTGTCGGTTTTTATTGAAGCTTTGCCTGTTGCAAATAACTGATAACTTCATATTGTTTTTAGTTTAGAGATATACCTTATGAATGAAAAGTAATATGAGTATGGAATACATTTTTTTTTAAATATCCCCAAAATTTATCATGATATATATTATGTTTGACGAACCAATATGTTTTCTAAGATTTAGATTCTAAATCAGTTTAATAACAATACAACATTTCTTGTTTTGAATCTCTTGGAGAAAACTTTATTTATAGACTTTTTTTAAACTTCAAAAATATTTCTAACTAGCAGTTTTTTTCTGAACCACACCTCTTTACAGAAGAGGTTAATTCCATGCAAACCTGCAAACTACCACTTTTAGGACATTTCAATGATATCCAAAAAACCTGAATTTAATTTTAATAACATTAACCTCACCGTGACCAGTTACTTTTCTTGAGCAGACCTTGTTGCTTGATTTGACCCGAGCATGTCACTGACTGGATTTGAATCAAATTATTGCCTTGAAATGACTGGATGCTACTTGATTAACAAATGTCTGACTTGCTGCAACAACTCTGTTATTACCTCCAGGCAATTGTGGAACAGCTTGTTGAGAACAGCACCAGTTTCAAGGAGAAGACGGTTTACTCTCAAGCAAAGTATCTCAAGAAGAAACGAGACAAGTGAGTACCATAAATACAGAGGGAAAAAGAAGAAAGCGAGCAAGGTCAGATCCAAAAAATATCATGTGAAGCTGTATGGGCTCCGTGCACAAGTACCCCCTCAACGGTAAGAAAGGGAGAGTTGGGGGAGACGACTGGGAGAGATATTGGAATGCATTGCCGACAACGCCTGATGCTCACATAAGATGCTTTGTGAACATTCAGAATAAGATAATTTGTGCGTACTGGGTTCTAAAAAGGCTGCTGGTCATTTGTTGTGTTCTTGGGCAAGCCAATTCACCCCCACCCAGGAGTATAATTGGGCACCGGCTTTAGCTGGGAGTAACCTGCGATGGACTAGCATCCCATCCATGGGGAGTAGAAATGTTCTCAGTCGTTTCATGCTTCTGAAACCGGAGATAAGTGTCGGCCTGATGGGCCATATGGGCTCAGGACAGACTTTACTTTTTTACTAGGGTTCTTAAAAAACACCCTCTCTTAGCTGGGTGATAACCTGCAATGGACTGGCATCCCATCAAGGGGGATGTGAAATGTTTTCGGTCATTTTTTGCCACTGAAAAGAGATAAATACCAGCCTGATGGGTCATATTGGCTCGTATGCAGACTTACTTAACATTTGATGGTGACCGTATCCTATTTTCTTTTTCAGGCATCTCATGAGGTTCCAGATTCTCAGGCCTAATACCATTCTGCTGTGTGAGATGTACTTGATGAGAGCTCCGTCCAAAAACATGTGAGTAAATGAAAATACAACTTTGCCTACCAGCGCCGTCAATGTACGCCCTCCTTTGGGCCTGAAGTAGGGTTCAGTGAGTGCAGTGATGATAAACCACTTGGTGATAATAAACTGTGTATTGTGTTCCTAATTTGTAGATCACAGCAAAGTTATGTGTGTAATAGCTTTGTTTTAAGGACTCCAAATATGAATGAAAAACTCGAAATATGAATGGAAAACATAAAAGAACACTGTACTTTGTTTGAGACTTCCGTAAATAATTACTCTTGAGAAGAAATAATTTTTTTAAGAACTGGTTATAAATATATGAAAAAAAAATTTGAGGGTTTTCTCTAATTTTCTGAAGAAAATAAGCTTCCGCACTTTGGTAATTGGTGGTACTAATAGGAGTTTTTATTTCATTGAAGTATGGCTGTAGAAATGAAACTCTATCCTTTCTAGGAATTATCACAATCCTGTTCACCAGACTGTCACCATTTTAGAGAAATTGTGAAGGTTAGGGTTAAATTGAATATAATTAAGTTGAACAAAAAACTTGACTGGAGCAGGATTTGAACCTACAACCTCTGGATTGCCGTTCCGGTGCTCTACCAACTGAGTTATTCAGCCCTATGTTGGCGGTTCCCAATTTTTTCATTATCTTAGTTCAAGGGGCGTTAGTCAGAAGCCATAAATGTGGGTTTATAGTGCCAGTTGAACAGAAACATTGATATGGGGAAACTGCCAACATAGGGCTGGATAGCTCACTTGTTAGAGCACCAGAACAGCAATCTGATGTCACAGGTTCAAACCCCGCTCCAGTCAATTTCTTTGTTAACTTTAAAATTATTTTAATGCACCTAGTCAAGTTTCCCCTCTGTCGTTTAATCAAAATTAAAAAATAATGAATAATATCTGTGTGAAGGTGTCATGACTTTTTGTTTCTATCTTATCAGTCACCTGCGTATCGATACGCTGGCCCAGATTTTGACTGCCGCCAACATCCAGAGTGGTATCAACGTCATGATGATGGAGACGTGCCAAGGGTTACTGCTAGGGGCAATCATGGAGAGAATGGCAGGTAGGAACTTGGGCTCATGGAGCTGTAGTCTGAGTCGGGCTTCCCGTAGCCTGGGAAAAAAGCTAGAAAAGTCATGGAATGTTTTTGTTGATACAAGCATTTTGATTTTGAAAGACATTATTGCTTTGTTTTGTTGTTTTCTGTTAAACTCTTTTTTTACTGAACAAGTTTTAACGTTTTGATCTGCATTTTGATGAACTAGGTCATGGATTTTCGTAATTTGGTCATGGAAAAGTCATGGAAAAGTCATGGAAAAGTCATGGAATTTATTGTCCTAAAGTTGCAGGAACCCTGTGCAGTACATGTAGTAGTAATGTCTGTTTCAATCCAATACATGTATGGCTCATCGGGCCCGCATTTACCTCCAGTTTACGTGGCATGAAACAACAGGGAATATTTCTGTTCCCCCTGGATGGGATACCAGTCCCATCACAGGTTACTCCCCAGCTAATGCTGGTACCCATTTATACTCCTGGGTGGAGAGAGGCAAGTGGGTGAAGTGGCTTGCCCAAGGACACGTCATAGGAGCAGCAGCAGAATTTCGAACCCCTGACCCTCTGATCATGAGTCACAAACCCTAACCACTAGGCCATGCTCCCCTAGTTATAGAGCTGCTGAACAGAAAATAGTGCTTAGCAAAACATACCTGGTAAGCACAAATCTACCAAGACCCCATCAGCCAAAAGCAAAAGTTTGTGACAGATAAAACATTTGGCCAAGGAAAATGTTAATACCCTGCAAATGTGTGTAAGTAAGCAATTCCATAGACCCTGTAAAAGATAGATATCACGGACAAAACCCTTTTTTGGTCAATGAACTGCTAACGTAAGTGGGCTTAACCCTAACCAACCCCAACCCTTCAAAAATCCAACTGCATGTTTTGTTTGATTCTGTTGGAGTGAGTACTGCACCGGTAAACTGACTATGCTTTGGTCAGGCATACACCACCATTATCAGAGTCCAACAGTTTACCATATAGGTGTTGGAATTTGCAAGAGTCAGGAAGGATCCTTGTAAATCACTCAAGGGGGTTAGGGTTAAGGGCTGTCTTATTGTAATGTTAGGAAATTAGAAGAAATTCTTTGTTGGCATTTCTTGGAAATTCAGGCCAAGTTCATTATCGGGCCAAAAAATCCTTGTTGGATCGTTGAATTGAACTGAATCTTACTTTTGTTGTAGTCAATAACCTGACTGTACATTCACCTGGTATCAACTCCAAAGCCAGTACATGGTTTTGTAATCACTTATGATATGTACTCAGTCTGTTATGTTTTCATCCCAGGTAAAGGCACTGTTGTTCAGATCCACTCAGAGAGCGCACCAGTACGGCTGGCTGTCGAGGCTTATAATTTCCCTTCAAGTTACAAAGATACCTTGCATGCATTCCCATTGGACCAACTCGGTTTTCTCGAACCAAAGGAATCTGTCGAGAGTAACAATCCCGAACAAAGCACCAGCGAAGTCAGCGACAGGCTTCAGGCTTGCAAAACAGAGGAACCGCAGGCAACAAATGGGAAGAGTGTCGAATCGAAAGACTGCCCTCAATGTTCAGAAAGCGATGCGAAAGAAAGGAGCGTGGGCCACCGGACTCAGAAAGAAGAGGAAAGATCAAACGGCGAGGAGGAAAATGACTCCAATGTGGAGGACTGTGATGCCGCTGCAGATGATGCGGGCATGGTTGCCATGGAAGCAGACTGTCAGTCGGGAGAGGGAGGCACGCAGGGTCAGAAGAGGAAATTTCAAGTGGTGAGCAAGATATTAGTAGGGGTATAAAACTGCCGACAGAAGGAACTCATGCCAAACATTGCTTACAAAATGAAAAATATTGAAGTGGATCATTGTACGTGTGCATCATTGTCAGTGTAAGTTTTTTTTCTCAATCAAGAGGTTTCCAGAAACCACCAAGCATTAACCCTCCTATGGAAACATGCATTGTCTGCCTGCTTATTACTTGGGTCAATATTGGTCAAGACCCCCATTGGTTTGTACACAGTATGCCTGGAGGTGAGGAAGAAAATTTTGACCATTGGTGACCTCTTAAATACAGGGGTGTGAAATCTCAGCTTTAAAGCTGATTTCAGCTTTTTGGCGAGCTGCGAAGCAGATGCGAGCCTATGTAATACCAATTTCCGTCCGTCTGTCCGTTCTGACCAGACCACCCTTGTGGGGTGATGTTCCTTTCAGGACACATCACCCCACTTTTTTCACAATAGAAAAACATCACCCCAGAAGGGAATCTTTAGAAAAAGGGATAATGGGAACACAATGCTATCACCCCACAATTCCGTCTGGCTGGAATGTCCGTCCGTCCGTCCGGCCGTCCGTCCGTTCTGACCATACCACCCTTGTGGGGTGATGTTCCTTTCAGGACACATCACCCCACTTTTTTCACAATAGAAAAACATCACCCCAGAAGGGAATCTTTAGAAAAAGGGATAATGGGAACACAATGCTATCACCCCACAATTCCGTCTGGCTGGAACGTCCGTCCGGCCGTCCGCGTTCAGATAAAAATGTTGAAGTTTTGGGTTCTAGTTTATAACTTGGGGGAAAAAATTAAATGCAGTTGTCAGGTATCATCTCTAGGCCTATAACTTCAGTTAGGTTCATATCATTGCAGTAAATTTTATGATTTTATTGAGGAACTTTAATTCAAGGAAATGTTAAAGTTTTTAATTGTTACATGTACATGTTTACTGGTATAACATGTACATGTGTGTATACCGGTATAACATGTACATGTACACTATGCATTTTGGGGATGTGCATGAGCTTCTGGTTTGATCTTTTAGTTGATGGGGTTGGAGTAGGGATGGGGTAGGGGAGGGTGGGGTGGGGTGGGGTGGGGGATAGGGTTGGAGTTAGGGTTTGTGTGAGTAGGATGAGTAGGGGAGCTAGGATGGGTGGGGCGGGGCGGGTTGAGGTGGGGTGGGGTGGGGAGAGGGGTTGGAATACTGGGTTTGGGTGGGGTGGGGATTTGTAGGGGTGGGGTGGGAACAGGTAGGGAGAGACAGGTAGGGGGGGACAGGTAGGGAGAGGCTAGGCATGGATGTAGGGGTTGGGTTTGGAGGGGGTTGGGCAGGGGGCGAGATATAGGATCGGAGTAGGGGTTGGGTTGGGGATGTCTAGGGATGGGTGGTTGTAGGGGTTGGATAAGGGGAGGGGGCAGTATATAGGGATCAGAGTAGGGGTTGCATGGGGTCAGGTTGGGGATGTATGGGTGGGGGAATGGGGTGGGCGGGATATTGGAATTCGAGTAAGGGTTAGGGTGGGGATGTGTAGGGGTGGGTAAGGACAGATAGGGGAAGATAGGGTAGGTGGGTGTAGGGGGTTGGGGTAGGGGAGGGTACGGGTCAGGGGAGGGGGAAGGAGATGGGGATTGGAGTTTGGGTGGGGTTTGGATGTGTTGGTGATAGGGTGGGGATGATTAGGGGAGGATGGAACGGGTGTGGGTAGGGGGTTGGGTGGGGGAGGGGGAGGGGGCGGGTTGGGGATGGGGTAAGGTTTTGGGATGGGGTAAGGTTTGGGGGAGGTGGTGATGGTGCTGTGTCTACATGTACATGTATACCCATTCTTGTTCTGCATTTGTGGCGACTACACAAGAGTTTTCCCATGTTAATACAAGTATGGGGAGCAGAAGACACTGTTGGGGCTGCAAAAATCCACAACTGGGTCCTAATTACCCTAACAATGGAAAACTCCCCCATAATACAGTGACGGCTAACCTATATACACATGTATATATTAGGTAATCTGTTGACTTTTTATGTTGACATTTAAAAACTGACCCCTACACCTATGCACATCAACAAGAATCCTGATCCCCTTCCATCATGCCCATCCCCAACCCTACCTTCAGCCTCCCTTCCTGCCTTGGACAGCGAGCCATGGCGGCTTCGCCGTTCTAGTTTGTTTTGGATTTACGCTTTTTCCCCTCACTTGCTGTGAACAAAAGTATAGGAGATTTCCAAAGTTCAGCTTTTTTACACCTTTTTCAGCTGTTTGCAGCTATTTTTATCAGTGGTCACTCACACCCCTGTAAATAGGAGGGTTAAATGTTAGCGATATGTTGGTAAAGGGATAACATTTATAGGTAATATATACATGTATGCAACATTTGCTTTTGCTGCAATTTAATAAGGTTGGTATTTTATAGCAAATATTGTTGCACTGACCTGTTTAAAGTTTTGTGTTCATAGATGCTGGAAAAGCAGAAAAAAAATTTGGTGCTCTTGTAGTCTGGTTCCCCATTGGTTCCCTGACCCCACTTCTAACTCCCCATTCCATTAATACAAATTTTGAAAGAAGGTTTCATTGAAAAAAGGTTGTATTTAAATACCTTAAGCATTTCAGCTTTCAAGATGAAAGAAAACACACAAATACTTTTTAAAAGAGCTATTTCCATTGTGACAAATAACCCAGAGTAAGTGCAAGTAGCACATCTGACTTGACTGTCCTCTGTTTATGATGCACAGGTATAAATTCTTACTGTCGTGAAGTGGAATAAATATCTTTAAAATGCCAAGTTGTCAGGTTTTCCTGATACTGTAGCACTGAGTTTACATTAATAATATGTGGTTCTTATATAACGCTTTATACCAAAGGTAGGTTTCAAAGTGCTTTACAATTATTACCCCTGTTCAACAGGCAATGAGATCACTTTTCTGCAGCTGAGATCAGCGCAATCTGGTCTGTAATGAGGTATCCATTTATACTCCTGTATGGAGAGAGGCAGTTGTAGTAAAGTGTCTTGCCCAAGGACACAAGCACCATGTTCTTATAATCAGAAATCACCTGATTTAGATCTGAATAGATCTTAATTACCCAAAACAAAGGAGAGGGTGGAGATGAACTCTTCTTGACATTAATCCAAGTCTTCATTCTCTCCGACAGAATCCCGAGAAGGAAGCCAGGAAGCAAAGACGAAGGGAGAGTCTGTGTAGAGTCCGAGATCTCCTTCACAACACCAAGATGGATGTGTAAGTTTTGACAACGACATGGCCAGAGTTGCCCTAGAATGAGTCGGCAGAAAGGTTGGCTTTCTAAGGATGTTAAAAAAAATGACGTAAGCATCTTGATGCTGATGTTGTTATTCTACAACAGTGAATCATCGCTGTAAAATGTGCTAAATACAAACAATACACCGGTTGTGATCGTTGATGCTATGATGATGCCCGTCACAACACACAAGTTTTCATAATTGTATAAAACAAAAGTTTAATCGAGTTGGTAAATGTCTCTGTGATGCAATCAATTGTCATTATTCCAATCCTTCAAAATTAACAAATGAATCACATCATGAGGTTATCATGACATCACCCAAGTGTTTCAACATCTAGAAAAGTCATAAAGGATGAGGAATTTCAGAAGGCAATTTTTGTGTCTATGTTTTTTCCAATATAAAATGATTTCAAAGTTGAATGCACTTCTTTTCAGAACCTCACAGTCACAAAAGAGATTTGACTACATGGGTGATACCGCAAACCTTACACCTTTAGACTTTCCACCATGCAAACCTTGAAGTCTTGCCTTGACTGTACTTGTTGACCATTCCCTCATTAAACCGCAGCCAACATTCCCAACAAAGCTTCATCAGAGGTGCAGCTGAGTGATCTCCCATGGATGATCTTTTTTTGTGTGTTTTTAATCGTAGCTTAGTGATGGCATGCAGATTTCAACCTCTTCCGATCTTCACAGCGCTTTTCAAGTTCCTAGCACCATCCCGGCCATTTGTGGTCTACTGTCATTACATTGAGGTGAGTACCTGAAAAGGTCATATTTTTTGTTTTTGGCTATATTTTGTTGAATTCAATTTTACATTTTCATTCTCAGCACGAAAGCAAATGCGAATTTGTGACGTCATGGCAAGTTTTTACGCTGCAAATTCGCAGCAAATGTTTTGTGAAGGCTTGGAACCTTTATGAATCCTCCAAACTCTCCCACACTGGGGGAAACTAATGACACATTTCTTTGTACTCCAATTTTATAATTTCTAAAGTCGCGTGATCTTGATTCTTTGTGGTCAGTAATGGGCACTTTCAGATAGGCTCTGGTAAACTGGCAGATTGGTAAATTTGCTGATTTGCTGTTTTCTGGTCACTGCTAGGTTTGGAGCCAAGTTTGCTCAAATGATGCCAACAGGGTTATGTGTGTATTTTGCACTGACAACAGCAGTTCTAGATGATAAAAGTATCTTTCCATTTTGACTCATTCTAAATCATTCCAAATCAATTTGGTTTCGGCAGCCTTTGATGGAATGCAACGAATGGCTGAGAAACTGCAACAATGCTGTCAACATCAGAGTCACAGAGACGTGGCTGAGGGAGTATCAGGTGAGCAGAAGACCACTTTGCCGAGTTGTAATCGCAAGGTGATCACAAGTCATCACTTGTCATCACAAGTCAATCACATGTCAATCACAAGCTATCACAAGTCAATTGCAAGACAATCACAAGTCATCAGAAGTCAATCAAAACTCATCACAAATCCATCACACGAATCGTCACAAGTCATCACAAGAAATCACAAGTCATCACAAGTCATCACAAGTCATCACAAGCCATCTCTAGTCAATCACTAGCTGTCACAACCAATCGCACAAATCAAATCACGAGTCATCACAATCAGTCACAATATATCACAAGTCAGTCATAAGTCATCACAAGCCAATCACAAATTCATCATACGTCTGTCAGAAAGGCATTGTCTTTCCATTGTTCAAGCCATTTAGTTGTCACCTGACTTGTCATGTGATTTGTGGGTCCGACTTTGGCTGTTGTCAGGTGTATTTGATCAATCGGCTGCTGTAAGAAAAAATACCAACTTGCCACCTTGGGACTGTTGACATCCTTTTTTGACACAAATTTGTGTTCATTTTGCACTAGGCAACTAATCCTTTCTCTTAGTTGAAATTTTTCCAACACATTTTACAAGGCTTCTTAAATCTTAATGTATTTGTGTATAGGTGCCACATGTAAACAAACTTCCAAAATTCTTTGGCAACTCATGCATTGATAGTCAAACAATAGACGATAATCGAGTTTGGTTTTGTTTCGTTTCCAGGTACTTCCCGAAAGGACCCATCCCAACGTCAACATGAGCGGAACTGGTGGCTATTTACTGACGGGAACTACAGTTTCAAATGAAACCTAAACCCAGAAAAGGGACCGCATCCTTCGGGCTGATGCTGAATAAGACATATGCTGAGTAAATGTATTGGAAATGGCATTTAAGTCTCAAATGGCCTTTACTTTTGTCAAATTGCATTTACTTTTGTCTTCTGCAAATGTTTGTGTTAGGGCCTGTTAAAGGTTGAGAGGACTATTCGTAATTCGTAAATTTTTCATTTGAAGCAACAAAAGTGCTCAAAATCTAAAGACGGGAGCTGAACAACTAACCTGATGAAATTTTAGCCCAGTGAATGCTGTACATTCTGAGAAAACAGTATTCTAGGATCTCAATTTCAATTCAAAGTTGCTGAGTTATATTCTGAACTGCGCCCAAAATCAGCATCTGGGTACTTTCTCATTCAGCCGATTGCAGCTAAGCAATGTCATGCACTGAACTGACGAATAATAGCAACCACACACATGACGTGTCAAGGCTTGTGCGTACCCATTCTCAGATTCGCCCAATCGCAAACCAACTACTAACGGCAATTTCCAAATATGTGTCACTTGACACATCTTTGGAAATAACCTTCTTTTGTTGTTTTCTTTAAAATGACAGCATGCCAGAAGGGATAATTTCACAGGGAGTTTAGTGCCGTTACTACCATTAAATCAAGTATGCTTTTTAACAATATTTCAGTCAGTCACTTTTTGGATAGCTGCAAATGGTCCAATCTACCTTTAACACTGCACATGGTAACAGGAGTTTGCATGGGTTAAAAAATGATACTGTGCTGGTTTGAATGGGCCGGTATGGACTCCGTGCACAAACCATAGATGGCGCTCTTTAACACTTTAAAATGCCCCAGTGGGAGGGACACACCGCTTGCATGGACTGGTTTGTGCCACTGATCTCTATATAAAGACTGGATAGCTAATAAAGAGCCGCACAATGAATGAATTTGACGCCATATTGGTAAGACCGGCTGGTGATCTACAAAGGACAAGTTGCCGTTTTTATAGACAGCATGATTTCTTTTGTAACGTCGCGGTTCACTTGACTTATATTTTGACCACCACCACTGACCACGGTTTACTACAAGTTTTCTAATGTCGTGGTCACTTTTATAATGCCGCAGATCACTTTTTCGGCGTTTTTGAATTAATAATCACTACGGAAATGTGTCCCTTTTAGAACATCACAATAGGTGTACATGACCAAAATGCGCGTCAACTGTTGATACAACGCGCGCGTATTTACGCGTAGAACGTTCGTATTATACACGGCCATTTTCGTGAGACCGGGTGCGAATTGGTCAATATGCAAAGTCTACTGTGTGAATGTTGTATGCATATCCGCTATCCAGTCTTTATATAGAGATCAGTGGTTTGTGCGCGTATGGCTCGAGGACAAATATAGCTGATACATGTAACTTTTTGTTGGTCATCTGTTCTTGGTTGTCCTTCGAAAGCCAAACGAGCGTTCACTCACGCATGTAGGGGCGGTCCATAAAGTGTGTACGCACAAAATGCTCACCTCTCAGACCCCTCCTTCCCCTTTTTAATATGTATACACATTCAGTATTTATATTTGTCTCTTTCAGACTACCCTATTCTATTCTATCATTTAATGTCTTAGTAAACCTGCTGTAGTAGTAGGATTCATATGTCGCATCCAAAGTCTGAAATAAATGACTTGTCGTCAGAAAACCTCTGGCGTTGGCACTGAGAAGATAAATCTAAATGGTGTGGCTGAAGGGTGTCGTGTTATAACAATTTTTGATGCATAAAAGCTGGTCCTGGAAAGTATTAAATATGAGAAAGTGCATTAATTTCATGACAAATTAATAAAAGCAAATTATCGCTTTGCTTATCCCCTATACTATATGGTGTACGCAATGCTTACAACCCCCCCCCCCCCACTTAGTGTGTGCGTACTTTATGGACAACCTCATAAGGATTAAATGACACTCAGTTTCTCAACATAACAGTGTTTTGTACATTAGCTTACGCATAATTTATTTTGTACAAAAGACATATTTAAAATCTAGATAGATGCTGCATTCAAAAGTCATTGTGTGACAAGAAGTTTTCAAGTTAAAAGTCCGTAGGAATGACACAACCAGCCACATTAAAATTCCATTGAACATTTCTCTTTTTTCCCCCAAAGAATATCATGATTGTTAAATTGATTATGACACACCTATTTTGCAATGATTTAAGCAAGTAAAATCATAAAACACATTGACTGAAAATTCCAGTATCTTGTCATTGTTAGTTGATCGACTATTGTACAATGTACTGGTAATGTTGATTTACTGGTAATGTTGTTTTAGATTTGGTTTTATACAAAAATAAAATATCATGTACTGGGTAAAATTGTGTGTTCTTTTTGGTGAGCTGCGAAGCAGATGCGAGCCTATGTAATACCAATTTCCGTCCGTCTGTCGGACGGACGGACGGACGGCCGTCCGCGTTCAGATAAAAATGTTGAAGTTTTTGGTTCTAGTTAACTTGGGGAAAAAAATTAAATGCAGTTGTCAGGTATCATCTCTAGGCCTATAACTTCAGTTAGGTTCATATCATTGCAGTAAATTTTATGATTTTATTGAGGAACTTTAATTCAAGGAAATGTTAAAGTTTTTAATTGTTACATGTACATGTATACTGGTATAACATGTACATGTACACTATGCATTTTGGGGATGTGCGTGAGCTTCTGGTTTGATCTTTTAGTTTATGGAGTTGCAATAGGGATGGGGTAGGGGAGGGTGGGGTGGGTTGGGGTGGGGTGGGGGATAGGGTTGGAGTTAGGGTTTGTGTGAGTAGGATGAGTAGGGGAGCTAGGATGGGTGGGGCGGGGCGGGTTGGGGTGGGGTGGGGTGGGGTGGGGTGGGGTGGGGTGGGGAGAGGGGTTGGAATACTGGGTTTTGGTGGGGTGGGGATTTGTAGGGGTGGGGTGGGAACAGGTAGGGAGAGACAGGTAGGGGGAGACAGGTAGGGAGAGGATGGGCATGGATGTAGGGGTTGGGTTAGGAGGGGGTTGGGCAGGGGGCGGGATATAGGATCGGAGTAGGGGTTTGGTTGGGGATGTGTAGGGATGGGTTGTAGGGGTTGGATAAGGGGAGGGGGCAGTATATAGGGATCAGAGTAGGGGTTGCATGGGGTCAGGTGGGGATGTATGGGTGGGGGAATGGGGTGGGCGGGATATTGGAATTCGAAGGGTTAGGGTGGGGATGTGTAGGGGTGGGTAAGGACAGATAGGGGAAGATAGGGTAGGGGTTGGGATAGGGGAGGGTACGGGTCAGGGGAGGGGGAAGGAGATAGGGATTGGAGTTTGGGTGGGGTTTGGATGTGTAGGTGATAGGGTGGGGGATGATTAGGGGAGGATGGAATGGGTGTGGGTAGGGGGTTGGGTGGGGGAGGGGGCGGGGCGGGTTGGGGATGGGGTAAGGTTTGGGGGGAGGTGGTGATGGTGCTGTGTCTACATGTACATGTATACCCATTCTTGTTCTGCATTTGTGGTGACTACACAAGAGTTTTCCCATGGTAATACAAGTATGGGGAACAGAAGACACTGTGGGGCTGCAAAAATCCACAACTGGGTCCTAATTACCCTAACAATGGAAAACTCCCCCATAATACAGTGACGTCTAACCTATATACACATGTATTTATTAGGTAATCTGTTGACTTTTTATGTTGACATTTAAAAACTGACCCCTACACCTAGGCACATCAACAAGAATCCTGATCCCCTTCCATCATGCCCATCCCCAACCCTACCTTCAGCCTCCCTTCCTGCCTTGGACAGCGAGCCATGGCGGCTTCGCCGTTCTAGTTTAAAGTTACAACTGGCAATTTTGATAATCAGTGTTGTCAAGATTTGCTAAATGTTGGGATTTTTGTCCTGGCATCTTCACTTCAGTTTGGTGGGTCACATTTACTGATATTTAGAAAAGGCTCTTGCTGAAGAAGGTTCAAGGCTCCTAACTTTTTCGACTCTGGCTCAACACAGCTCTGTCCTTCAGTCTTATAAGTTTCAAGTGTTTCCTTCAGTTGGTTTGAACCTCAAAGGATCCTTAATTATTCTGAAGCTGTAGACAAAGTTGCAGCGGAGACGAAGCCACAGTTTCAAACCCTTCCACTTCAATAAATCAAAAACGTTGCTTCAATAGATACACATGAACCCCAAAAATAGGCCTAAAGATTGGCTTAAGTAGCTCCAACCCGTTAGGTATTTTAGTCTGCATAGTGTAAAAAGATACAGCAAGTCAAAAATATCAAGGCCAAACTGCCTCAGAGTCTGTGGTCACCTACTGCAGCAGGATACAACTGTACATATACAATGGGACTAGCTCTCATTGTCTCAGAATTGGCACTAAATGCAATTGGGTTGATGGTCAAATGCAACAAGGCCAGCCAGACTTTTAGCTGCAGTGCGTTGCATCTGGAAGGGTTAGGATTCATCCATATATCAGTTTTGATCATTGATTTTTTTTTGGTCACAGTACCGCAAGCTAGATCATGATTTTGGCCTTTAATAAACTATGACAAAGCCCTACCCATATATTTTTGGATATGCTCAAAGACATTGTTGGACGTAAGTCTCCTATGTAATCCCGGGTACATGGCTTCAGATGTCTTGGCAGGTAGCCCAGAACCAAAGCTGTGCTCTTCTGAACCGACAGCATCTAAAGACTTGCTGGTCCCAAGTCCAAAACACTTCCATCCTTCTGTCAGAAAATACTGGCCTGTTTATTTGGATCGACGGGGAGGATGCTTATTGTGTCCTCAGCTCGGCCACACAGAATACAAAGCATGGAGTACTCCTGGTAAAAAAAAAGACACAGAAATGCTTCGTCAGTATTCAAGCAATCTACATAATAAGGGTTTTTGCAGCATATCTGACTCTGTAACTAAGACTTGCAAAGTTGCAGTGAAGCTAGTCACAGGTATGAAGTCCCAAAAGTAAAAAAAGTAAAGAGTGTCACGAGCCAATGTGGCCCATCAGGCTGGCGTTTATCTCCGGTTACAGTAGCATGAAACGACTGAGGATATTTCTACTCCCCCTGTATGCCGGTCCATCGCAGGTTACTCCCCAGCTAATGCTGGTACCCATTTATACTCCTGGGTGGAGAGAGGCAAGTGTGGGTGAAGTGGCTTGCCCAAGGACACAACATATGACCAGCAGCTGGATTCGAACCCCTGACCCTCTGATCGTGAGTCACGAACCTAACCACTAGGCCACACTCCCCCCAGTCCCAAAAGTGGACAACCCAATTAAGTGGAATTTTGAGACTGAGAGAAAGTAAAATCCAAATTTCTGCCAGCAGAAAATTTACATTTTTGAAAACGGGTGGTGTGACTTCAAAAAATCCACTAGCTTCAGAATTTCCACTAGCACTGTAGCAGAAAATGGGCAAATTAGATTGACTACTTTTGGGGGGGTCAACACATAGGTCACAACAAGTCAATCACAAGCCATCCAGCCACAAGCCAAGTCACAAGCTATTCAAATGAACTGTGACCACAATATTACATTGTCGTCGTTCATCCCTTGTTAATTGTGACCTTACTTGGGATTTCACTTGTGGTTTGATTCGTGATTGACACGGTTACAACTCTGCTGTAACCCACTGTAGTGGAAAGGGCCTAGGGTGCCACAGGATGGGGAATCCCTCACTTAAAAGGAAGAGCAATTTCTTATCTCAGAAAAATCCATCTTTCAAATTCAAGGAAAGTAGAAAATCATCACAATATCATTTGGTGTTGAGTCTCACTGCTTTCTTTGTTTTCAACCTTTTAACTCAGAAATCTTTCAAAAACACATGTGCATCTCCAAAAGAAGTTAATATTTCCTTTTAATACCTGATAGTCGCCTTCTATTCTAAACTCGTACCGATGCTCTGCTATGAGATGTTCACACACGGCACAAACATCTGTCGACAGGAAAACATCAAATAAAATATGAGACCTTCCATGAAAAAATTTGAACACACCAACAGTGGTCACCTGGCGAAAAGTCGTGATCTAATTGGTTAATGCTCACTGATTGACAGCCAGGAAGGGTCAGCCATTCTGAGGTTGTATCCTGTTGTAAACTCTACAAAAAACTAGTTTGTATCACTCTTCTGTCACGAGTGACAAGACACATGAACATATGTGTGCATACAGTGTGTAAAATCTCTCACAAATTACCAAGATGCTTTGGGAGTCTTTGCTTAAATTGGGATTTTCATCTTTTAATGCACTCTGGATAAAGGGGAATTGACTTCTGACTGACTAGCTAACAGTGGTCCCTTCCGGATGTGGCCATTAGCCCCGCCCACTTTTCTTTGTGGTCCTTTCTCACAGTTGCTTGTGACTGAGTTTGACCGGGTTACTAGTGGTCACCTGACCAAACGTTGCATTCTCATTGGTCAATGAACACTGTGTGATCGACAGGCAGGAAGAGTCTTACACTCAAAGAATAAAGGTTAAAATGGTTAAGCATGAATAAGCCTCTGTAGTGATGACATTTACATGTGCACTTTCCTATGGAGCCAGTGGGGGCCCACGTTCCACTGAGCACCATAGGAAAGCACACACGTAAACAAAGTGTGACGTCATCAATACAGAGGCTTATTTGGCGGTACAAATGCAACGTATGCAGATATGCCACAAGAGGTGATACTGACGGTCATAGACGACCCTCTCCTCCCCCTCATCTTCGTCCGTGTCGGTCTGCTGGTTCTGGATTTTGATGTTTTCCTTGTTGTGGCAACTGGCGCATTCGTGGAAGTTGACAAGATAGGAGCCAGTCTCCAAGCACACACTGCCCTAATATTAAATGTAAGATAAATGAATACCGTAGTATCATTAAGACCAGTTGTTCCTGTGAGCCAAGTACCAAAACCGCCCCAAGGCTACTGGAATCATCTAAATAGTAAGCAACATTTGTTGAAATCCAACAGGAATATTGTAAAAGATGGAGGGGGGATAAGGTTTGAATTTTGAGAGAATTTTGAGGTTAAACAATGAAGATCACAGATCACAACACCAAAATAAAGACAACGATCTACCACCATGCTCTATGAATGCACAAAACCATGTTGATTGGAATGGCATCAACTGAAAAAATCAGTAAGAATCATGTTTTCTACAAAATAATTACTGTTCAAAATTACCCAAAATGGGGCCCTAGGAATTAAAAGAAGATTGATTTATTTTTAGGCTGCAGTTCTATGTCATTTGGGAATGAAACACACTCTATGATTAAAACAAGAGATTTTCACCAAATACAACCCGATTTCACGAAGCGCTGCGACGCGTCACAACTCGAGTTACGACGTGTAACACGTCGCAACTCGCGATGCGTCGTATCATCCATTCCACGAAAGTTGGGATGTGTTGAACGCGTCATAAGTTCCTTGACAACGGCTTAAAACACGTCGCAAGTTACGACGTGTCTAGTGGTCATCGCAAAATAAGAGTCCCTTTCTTAGCCAGTTTAATGCCATAAACATTACATAAACGAGATTATAATACCGAGCCAATGTGTGTAAAGTTGTTAATAGAAAATTCATGGAATAATTATGAATTAGACTGAAATATTGCAGTTGAAATTTCAAAGTAGCTATACCGTCCACTGAGAGCTCGTTTTCCTTCAAAATTGCATCGCAGGATGCGACCGCCATTTCGTTTTACGTTTTAACAAATTTCGAGTTGAGATCCGACGACTCTTTGTTGAATATCAGATGACTATTTACTGTACGCTGACTAAATACATAAAACAGTCACTGAGTTGTGCTATAAATACACCTACGACGCGTCGCACTTACGACAATGTACGACGTGTTTTGTAAAATGGATCGCAGGACGCGTCGCAGCTGCGATGCATCGTAAGTTATGATGAGTTTCATGAAATCGGGTGCAGGTTGTTTGAGAGGGGGGTAGACCCGCAAACTACCACCCGACATGTTTACGCCTTTAGGTTCCAACTGTTGAAGTTACTGTTAGGAAGATCATGAATATAGGAGAGCGCAATTACGCAAGGCAAGCATGGCAAGGGGAGTAGATTTTTTTTCCCAATTAATTAAGCCAGAGACAGTGGAGACGGCTATTTCAGTGCTGGTCTTCAACATTACTTGTCCAATTTCACTCCACAGATTTGAGAAAATAGTGATATAATAAAAAAGAAAGAAATCGAAAATGTAGGAAAGAGCCCCCCCCCCCCCCCATGCCCCCTATGCCCCCCCCCCCCCCGGCTTCAAATAAGATCCAACCCCTCCCCTTAAAATATTTTTTTTCTCACTCAGACACCCGCCGCTGAGGATTGTTTACCCCTTTTTACCCAACTTTACACCGGTTGGTACTTGGTTTCCTGTCTATAAAATATGCATCCAAGGACCACCTACCCTGTCTGGACATTTCACTCTGACACATTCTACACACATCTTCAAATTTTCTGCTAAAAATGAAGACCGAAGTTGCTGAACATCTGCAGCTAGCTAGCTGTATCTAGCTCCGCCGCAGGAGGGCGCTGCGAGAGATGTTTTTCAATGCATTAGACTCACACTAGTACTTTCGTCAACTTCATTTTCTGCCTATTATTTTATTGTTCCTCCAGATTATTTGCAAGCATACAAACATAAGCTGGATCATTTACACGTTTTTACCTAGGTTATTGAAACAAATGTATTGTATTGATGTATCTGCCTGTTCACTTTTTAAATTTGCTTTGCATAAATGAGGAGTTTGCAGCCATGGATCATGATGGATTATTGATATATAAAAAACCCACAATTTGAGAATGTCAGTATTGCTCATGAAATGTGATGCATATTTTAATCACAAAGCTATGTTATCTCCATTAAATACATGTACCATAGCATTGTAATTAAAATGGGCATCACATTTCATCAAAAGTTTGACCTTGGTAAAACTGTTTGACAATTTCTCTTTAGTTTACAAAAAACCAACAATGACTAATACTCGGTTAACGCTCATTTTTTTCCAAAAAAGATCAAAATTTTATTCTACTTAAACACTGAAAAGAACTGTCATTTCTCCATGTGGAAATATGTACAGAGACAAAACAAGTAAAAGAAATTTAACAATGTGAAAAGTAATAAATGTAACATAAGAAGTACAGCACAAGCTAATTAAGTACAAAACGGGGGAAAAACAAAATCCCTTTTTCCCTAGAAGTATGTCAGGAAAACATGACGCCCTCAAAAAGTCTGAAGATCAGAAAATTGCTTGGCCAACAAATAAATACTTACACTGATCAAATATATTTGTCAACCGTTACTGATTTGAGTTAGGAAAATGGTTACTCGGCGAAGTAATTTTTGGCAAGCCACAATTCCACAGTGTAGATCCATGAAGTGTTTTGAACTGGGTCATGACAGAATCTTTTTTTTGGCAGGAAACAAGGTGAAACGATTGCAAGGTATTTGATATAAAATATTATGAATATTATGTCTGTACTTGAACAATATATATGCAAAAAACTACATATTCCAGAGACAATTTAAAAAAAAACCCAAAACATTGCATTATTTAGACATCTTGTCGCAACATTCACCCAGACTTCCAAATTTCAGATGTATTTATTGGCTCTGCCTTGCATGAATTTTAATTTCTGCACAACTGTTTGAATTGATAAGGGTTACACACACATTTTGGAGTTACTTAACTTAAGTCAGCAGAAAAAATATTTCCTCAAATGTCACGACAAAGACCTTTTAAACTTGCACTTAAAAGTTTATTTTTAGACTAACCAAAAATCTCAGCGAGCAAGTGAATTTTACTGCACAGATGCAAGTACAATCACCCACCAGAGAAATTCTACTTAGTGTGGAAAGCAAAAAAAAAAAGGAGAAAGTGCAATTAGTTGTGAGTTGTGACATCATAAGCTGTTGTATATCCGATATATCACAGTGTAAAATGAGTCCATCACAAGTCCATGACAAGTCCATCCACAAGTAAATCACAAGTCCAGTCACAAGTCAAACACAAGTCCAGTCACAAGTAAAAGTGGATGAACAATAACAAAGGAATGCCTTTGTCAAAGCTCATTTGAATAGCTTGTGAGTTGAATTGGGACTGGAGGACTTGTGATGGACTTGCAGGGACTTGTGATGGACTTGACTATATCACTGATTATATCATTGACATTTAGAGGAATATTGCGATTGTTGCAAAACAGGTCTCATCTAGTCTTGGTCCAAAACTGGGTTTTGATTTTATTTCCGTTATACAGCCGGTCCGTGACAAGCGAGGTCACTATCAAGATGAATCAAATCCAGTCTTGGCAATATTGACAACGCTACCCAGGAAATTCTGAGCATACCTCACGCGCTGTTCCTTGCTGTGTGATTCAAGCTAATGCATGGGCTTGAGGTATCCTCGGTGTGTCGTGGGTAGCGCTGCCAATATTACCAAGACTGGATTTGATTCATCTTGTTGATAGAGACCTCCACTGCCGCGGCAACTTTACCGTTGTCATGGGACTGGCTGCAAAACAGGGCAATAAAAATTGGAATCCAGTCTTGTGACCAAGGCTGGGTTGCATCACAAGAATGGGAACAGCATTGCCTGAAAATTGCAACAGGTACCAATACTAAACAACTTCTAAGTTCTTACACAGCCATGGACAAGTAAAAAACTGTGCCAACAATCTTGCAGTGGAGATAGATGCATACCAGTACAAAAACTCTTGTCAATCTCAGATTGCCTGCAATTTTTTTTTCAAGAAATTTTCAAAAAGCAATTGTAAATCTTACTGTTCAGAACTACCCCTTAATGCAGTTGTACCACATATTTTGCCTGTACATACAACCCACTATAGCTACAAAAAAATCTAAAAAAGACTAAATTATAAATATGTACAAAAGAATATGGTGCTAGCTTCCCCATAGCAAAGACTTCTTCATGTTCATCTGAACATCAGTGGTATTGCAACAGTACTTCATTTTTTAATTCTACAGCATTTATGACACCATTAAAAGAGAAATTATCATACTGAGCATGTTACTCCTTATGAAAAACAAAGCCAAACGAAAAACAGTTGCTGGAAGAATTCTGTCGAGCCAAGTTTAAATTTGTTTAATTTTGTAACTCAGAAAAATTAGGCAGTCACCGGGAATTTTAAATATTTACACGATTTCAATCAAGGTCAGGCACAAGTTTAGTTTTATGGGTTTTTTTCTTTTCTTTCACTCTCTCTTTCTGTTTGCTCATGAATTTTGAGATACATGCGGCACGTTTTTAGATGAATGAATACATGCCTAAAAGTAGACATCTCGATAAAAATACCCAAAAAAACTTGCAGGGAAAATTTCCCTGATTGGGTTTATATATTGTTCAAAAGAAACTTTCCATTGCTCTAGGGAATCTTATGGGGAACCTTGTCAGCCACTGCTTCAACGCGCAGGGCTGTTCATGCAACAGAGTACCCAGGTATTATTGACTGAGATGTTATCAGTTGTATGTGGGGAAGTTTTCTTGAACTTTTTCCAGGATTATGAGTGAGACGACTCCTGACTGGTCCAGCAATGCTCCCCTGATCTTATCTCGATGCCTGGTCTTTCAGCTGCTTGTAGATTTGCTCCTTGAAGAAGTCTTTGTTGTGGGGACGATACGACATTGTCTTCCTGTCAAATCTGATAAACAAAAATTGAAGAAGAAAAAAAAAGAATCCAATTTGTAAGCAAAGCGGAGCAGAATTTGTGACCTGTTGTTCAGTCACCAGTTTTTGAGAGGTGAGCTTAACAAATGCTGAAAATTAAACCAATATTAACCGAGTTGGGACGTTTCAGGCATCACCGCAGTAGATAGAAATAGCTCTCATACAAGTGTGTCAGTAAAAGCGCTTCCGATGATAACTTTTGAATCAAAAACAACTTCTGTGTCATTTCACACCCAACAACACGGATATTTCCTGATATATCTACAACTCACATGAGAGAAATTATGCACAGAGATGTACACAGTACAATAAGGGTGCAGAAAGTATAAAAACTTGCTAACATAAAATCTTGCCACATCAGTGCATATTGCAATAGAACTCATAGTATGGGCTCCGTGCACAAGTACCCCCTCAACGGTAAGAAAGGGAGAGTTGGGGGAGACCACTGGGAGAGGCATTCAAACGCATTGTGGACGACGACGCCTGCCGCTCATGCGTGCTGTGTGCACATTCAGAATAAAATTGGTCGCCGTATTTCGCGCTAATATACGCATGAACCAGTATGCGCACGTCGTGTGTCCTGTCCATGGGGCTCTCGTCGTGGTAAAAAAGCGCCCCCTCTTGTTCGCGCACACAGCCCATATTAAGTGACTTATCACTATTCAAATAGCACAAAGCAATATTATGTGAATGTGAAGAACATACAAGTGCTTTTGAATAAATTCACATACTTTCCAATTTCACTTTAACTAATAAGAACGCATGGTGCAAAATGTACTACTTGGGCCACCGGGGACACTATGTGCTGTAGTGCACTAGACTGTTCAATATGGGTATCATTTCATTGGAATTTGGAAAATGTTATTAAGTGAATATGCTCAACTACTCAATATTGTGGTGTCATTAGCCTGAGGATTATGTTCTTTAGGATATAGTAACCAGTGGAAACTAAAAACATTTCAATTGTCTCTTACCACATTCTAGACACAAAACATTTTAACTATTGTTACTAAAATGACTACGACATTACTGCCAAAAACTATAAACCAACACTTATAGCATGCAGATTGCAAACAGCGTGAACAATTATTGAGAGATATTTTGTATTATGTATGCTTGATGGATTGGTTTCCTGTCAAGTTGAGTTTGTTTGGCAAATTGGAGACAAATGAGTCATATACTTTAACATCTGTAAAGTATAATGATTCACCCTCCTTCTCTTGATGGCAATTTCAACAAGGCCAGCCCAGCAGTCAAAATAAACCAAGTGACTGTTTTTAACAGTTGAGTGCTCCCTGCCTTTAGTTCATAAAGCAGGTTTGACTGTCTGTGACTGTTATGAAAACTGACACAGTTATGCTTTGACTGTAGGAGATTGATAAGCCAGCTGTGCCTACCAGTTACCTGCTTTTGTCTGTTGGTGGAATTTGACTAGTCACAGTGCTTATGGAGTACCGAAGTGAATACGTCACGCGCACAAAATACGTGTGAAACTGAAAGACATTAGCGCGTGATTCAGCCCGTGAACCAACACGCGCGCGTACTCCATTTGTTTGCGCTACACTTTCTGGTTCTAAATGACGTCACACTTCAGTTCTCCATTGAAATATGATATGACTGTTGGTGACTAGCCTGTGTAAAAGGCATGGCAGGGAAACAGGATTGACTATTTGACTGTCTGTGACTGATCCAACAAAACGAGGGTTAAACAAAATGCATCATCATTCTCAGGCTGATGCCAAAGTCACAACAAACAAAATCACAAGTAACACAAACCAAAGCATGATAGAAGCGAAAGCAGACAGAATGTTGAAGCAGGTGCAGAAAGCAGGGACAGAAAAGCGGTGAACATGATGAGTGTTTCTTATTTGATGCAAATTGTTAAATCTGGAAACTGTCTGGTCAACAAATGCACACACAAAGTCATAAAATAACTTTGTGTATCTGTGTTGACCATGAGACGAACGGATTCAAGGTGGCACCAAACGTCAATGAAATAAAATACTTATCTTAGCGTTATATTTAGAAGTCTTGCCAAGATTATGCACTAAAAGCAGTATTTAATGTCATTGTTTTGTGTTAATCACTACTTGCAAACATGCATGAAGAGCTAAAGCATGGCCTACAACTAATCAAGAGAGATCCAAATTTGGACTGCAAACATAATTGACATGCAGTGCATAAAACAGTCTCGACATTATGACTGTACTCCCCAACTTCTGAATGGTTCCCCAAATCTATGACTTGTGCTTCCCTAAAAAATGACTGCTATTACGAAAAGGCCCTCACCCGTGCTTAATGGTCATTATGCTTCATCATTTGAGGGCTTGCCGCCGTAAGAGTACATAGATCTTCTCTTTAACCCAGTCTTTGTTGCAAGGAAGGTACGCCATGGTCTTCTTATCCAACCTGTTGGAATGGGAACAGCCACAGAGCAGTCAGTAAGAAGTGTGCTCACCGAGTCACTTTTTTTTTCAGGGGGGGGGGGGGGGTTGTCATCCAAAAAACAAATCGCCCTCTGGTATTGGAATGTCCAAACAGCAGAATCTGCTGTATTTTCTCTCATGAATTCGAAAAATAAAATTACAGTTTGACAAAAAAACACAGGTAGGGGCTTTTGACTTGAAGTTGCAGCCACATGACAAACCATAAACACTCGATGCAAGTTAGTTATAGACCTAAGACCTAATGACGTACTGGCTTTGTTTACTTATGCTCTTTCCTATGGGAGCGAAGTCGGGGCGCCAAACGAAGTAGGGACCGTCTACCACATAGGAAAGCGCACATGTAAACAAAGCGTGACGTCATTAGGTCTCAGGCCTATTGGAGTAAGTCAGTTATATTGTTATTGCCAGTAACGTTTTTATTTCCAACTGATTATTTCCAACATTAGTTCTTTTTCAATGCATTCAAATAGGACCTTCACATTTGTATTTTTTCTGTTGCAGTTACAAATATACATATTGTGTAGTTGTTCACATGTGTACTAGTCTACCCAAAACACATCATGTCCATCAACAAAATTTTACACTGGATGCTATCAGCTACCACTGTCTTAATTAGGGATTAACCCTAACTCCCTAGAGTGATTTACTAGGAACCTTCCACATCCTTGCAAATCCCAACACCATATGGTAAACTGTACACATAAACAGTTGGACTCTGTTTATATGTGGTATGCCTAACCCCATGTAAAGCAAAATAATAAGTTTACTAGTGCAGTACTCATCCTAACAGATTCCAACAAACCCTGGTGTTGGGAGTTTGACTGGATGGAGATTGTTTAGGGTTAATGACCTCATTAAATGTGCCGTCAAAGGATAGGCTTTGTGTTCTTGCAGTGCTACATATTTTAATACAAAAATTACCCGAAGTGTTAGGATTTAAGGTTAGAGACTTGTTAGTAAGTATATTTTTGGTGGACACAGAAGTAGAGGTTATGGGGATGGGTAGCAGGTAGAAAGAACAGCAGCAAATGAGTAGAAAAATAACCATGTCTCTCATTCAAAAAAAGCATCTTGTGATATATGTGAATGAATCTTATGAACTGCTGTGTCCCGGCTGTTCTTGAGATTTCATGTATGTTACTGATTTAAAAAAAAGACAGGGGCTCCCTGTATTTAAAACAGTCAAAGTTTTTGCATGGTCTAACTCTAGTTCCCACGAGTCTTTTTTTTCAGGTACCTTACTAAATGCAACAAGATGCCACGGTGGATTCAGTTACCATGCTAAATGCAAGAAGATGCCACAGTTGATTCTGTTGTACCAGCCATGGCACTATGAGCAGATACCACATGCTGAATGCAACAAGATGCCAAGGTGGGTTCTGTTGTACCAGCCATGGCACTATGAGCAGTTACCCTGCTAAATGCAACAAAATGGAACAGTGGCTTCCATTGCACCAGCCTTGGCACTATGAGCAGTTACCCTGCTAAATGCAACAAGATGCCACGGTGGATTCTGTTGTACCAGCCTTGGCACTATGAGCAGTTACCCTGCTAAATGCAACAAGATGCCACAGTTGATTCTGTTGTACCAGCCATAGCACTATGAGCAGTTACCCTGCTAAATGCAACAAAATGCAACAGTGGCTTCCATTGTACCAGCCATGGGGTCATTCCGTGTCAAATCAACACGCTTTTGGACCCGACCCTCACAGATTGAAACGATATTTGGTGTGATGATTGGCCTATATGAGTAACCCCCAGAACTGAATTTTTTTGTAAATTGACTCGTTAGGTTTTGAGATACGGGTCAACGAACTTTTGACTAATTAGCATGACCTCCGAACTTTAAATACTTGTATCTCAAAAACTATAGCGCCTACAAAGCCAAGTTGTACATCATATTAACCCTTACTCTCTGAGGGTAGTTTACTGCATGTCAGTTGGTTATGCCAATGCCCTCCAGCTGCAGTTTTTTGGAGGATACTTTGATGTAGCAGTGAAGGCTCCAATTGGCAGGAGTTGGAGGCCCTGGAGGGTGCCTGATACTGACCAGCTGGGGGCACTTGATTGTTATCAGAGGACTCTCATTGTTCTCTGTGGCATGTATTGGAGTGCCTGTCCAGTTACCCTTGAAATGACATGGCAGATATTGGAGGGCCATGCAAAAAACATAGGAGATTTTCTTGAGGCACATATTGGCATGCGTTGGAGGGTCTAGTAGGGTAAGGGTTAAAGCTCTTTGAATGGCCTCCATTTCATAAAATAAAACCAAAATCGTAGCATGAAGTGCAGAGAAAATGCGTAACAAAATGACCTTTGACCTCGAATTACGAAAAACAATATGCTTCAAATTTTGTAATTTTTTTTCAAATGTTAGTTTATGATGTCAGCAACAATCTTAAAAAAAAATTGGGATGGGCGCTCTTAAAGTTTTTAGGTTATGATTTTTTGAAGAAAGCCTGTCCATGAAAAAGTATGCATAATATTAAATGTACATGTATGTACATGTACATGTACATGTATACTTGTACTGTGTACATATGTACATGTGCACATTTTACTTGTGCATCATGTTTGCCCTTTACAACCATATAGTCTCAACTCAAAGGGCAGAACAAAATTACTTATAAAAAATATGTTATACTGGTCTATGTTACTTTCATTTTTTGCTCAACCAAAGTCTGTGTTGCAGTGTTCATCTCCTCGGCGGAGATCTTGTATACGCGTCCTGTTTCAGTGAACGGTTCCACTGCTGTTAGTACATCCTTGCCATGAATTACAAGTGTGTCTGGTCGATAGGGGAACTTGAAAGATGGAGATGGCCCATGGGGATGAAGGAAACTCAGTTCCACTTCTTGGGATGCTGGAAGGATCTCCTGAACACATGCTAGCCACCAGTAACAGTCATACATCACTGTAACATACCCCTTGATATCTGCAAAATCAATACATGCAGTTTGTCCATGGACTTGGAGACAAACTGGTTCCTCCCTTGAGTCTGAGGAGGAGGAAAAATCACGCACCTTAATTTTGTCTTTAGACATCGGACAAAAACAGTGCAGCTTTTGTGTTCCTGGAATGGTACGTGCAATTTGGAATCTTTGCCTGAGAATATCCGCTTCATTCTTGTATTGCTCTGTTGTTGCAAAAGCGAAGTCAATACTGACTGAGAAGTAGCAAATTCATACAGCTGCCAAGGGGTCATAATCTGCTGATCCAAAGGTCGCTGGAGACTAGCTCTTGCTGCAAGGCGTTTAACAGTTCCTCCAATTCCATCAGATGGGCCTTTCCCGTGGGAGATTGCAAAAAAATGCCATTCTGCTGGTACACCAAAATCCTCTTCGTGATGGCACAAGTTGATGAAATTCTTGAGGTTCTTGTACTGAGCAGCACAACCATCTGAGAAGTACAATATCTTCTTGAAACTTCCAATCTTATTAGTGAGAAATTGAAGGAGCAATTTCTGGATTAGATGTACTGTTACAGTATCATGGGTATTACAGTCTGAGATGACGACAAAGCTTAGGTGCTCATCAAGTTTGCCTTCTTGTTGGAAGTAGCACACCTAGGGGTGAATTGTAGCCTGTAGATTGTTCCAGTGGAATGACTGGGCAGCATCCTGAACTACAAAACTGTAATTTTCTGCAAAATCTGCAATGACCAAGATTTCGCTTGGTTCCATGTTGTCTTTAGTGTGCTGGAGAAAGTGACTCTCTGATGTAGTAACTTGCGGAGAGTAGCCATGAAGGAATCCAAAAAATCATCCACTGTATGAATTTTGGTTTCAAGTGTTAAACTGTTAAACGCCTTGCAGCAAGAGCTAGTCTCCAGCGACCTTTGGATCAGCAGATCATGACCCCTTGTCAGCTGTATGAATTTGCTACTTCTCAGAGAAAGAGTACTGACTTCGCTTTTGCAACAACAGAGCAATACAAGAATGAAGCGGATATTCTCAGGCAAAGATTCCAAATTGCACGTACTTAGGATGTACTTACAGCAGTGGAACCGTTCACTGAAACAGGACGCGTATACAAGATCTCCGCCGAGGAGATGAACACTGCAACACAGACTTTGGTTGAGCAAAAAATGAAAGTAAGATAGACCGGTATAACATATTTTTTATAAGTAATTTTGTTCTGCCCTTAATATATATGAGTTGAGACTATATGGTTGTAAAGGGCAAACATGATGCACAGGTAAAATGTACACATGTACATGTACACAGTACAAGTATACATGTACATGTACACAGTACAAGTATACATGTACATGTACATGTACATTTAATATTATGCATACTTTTTCATGGACAGGCTTTCTTCAAAAAATCATAACTTAAAAACTTTAAGAGCGCCCATCCCAATTTTTTTTTAAGATTGTTGCTGACATCATTAACTAACATTTGAAAAAAAATTACAAAATTTGAAGCATATTGTTTTTCGTAATTCGAGGTCAAAGGTCATTTTGTTACGCATTTTCTCTGCACTTCATGCTACGATTTTGGTTTTATTTTATGAAATGGAGGCCATTCAAAGAGCTTTAATATGATGTACAACTTGGCTTTGTAGGCGCTATAGTTTTTGAGATACAAGTATTTAAAGTTCGGAGGTCATGCTAATTAGTCAAAAGTTCGTTGACCCGTATCTCAAAAACTAACGAGTCAATTTACAAAAAAAAATCAGTTCTGGGGGTTTCTCATATAGGCCAATCATCACACCAAATATCGTTTCAATCTGTGAGGGTCGGGTCCAAAAGCGTGTTGATTTGACACGGAATGACCCACGGCACTACGAGCAGTTACCATGCTAAATACAACAAAGCATCCATGGTCAACATGGGTGAAGCAATTTAAATTGACTGCTAAATGCAACATTACGCAACATCATTTTACAATGTTGCAGTCTGTTGCATTTACAAAATAACTTTTCATGTAGTTGAAACACTGCCTGACTCCCTAGCAGTACATATACTCTTAGAAATGGTTACTTTTATACAACTTTATCAACTTTTAACATTTACATATATGTGAACATTTCTAAGGATACCAAACTATTATGCTTCTTGTCAGTGGCTTTTTTTCCAATCTGCAAAATCTCTGAGGTTGTAAAAGACTACAGACAGGTCCTATAAGATTTTGAAGTTCACTCAATGGAAAAACATGAATGCTAACAAATTGTGTATTTATTTGTTGGTTTATTGGCTACAAATCGAGGAATCCCATTCAAAGACAAATCTATACGTCTGGAAAGTGCTTCAAACGTTTGAAGGAATACATCTTGCCGGGCCAAATTTCAAGGTAATGCTGAGTGAAAAAAAATCAAGGTTTAGATGATGAAATATATATGGGTGAAAAATAGTCACTAGTCACACTGCGTAGTAACCTGTTTTGGTAAGCAAAGTTTTCTGTGTTGAACAAGTTCCTAAAATTGGTCCCTAGTCTCTAGCCTCAGAGGACATGGAAAAAAGAGATACTTACACTAGACAGCTGAGGTCTTTGAGGTCATCAATGAATTGGAACAAGTGGCCGATGTCGTAGGTGATGGACGGGCTGTTGGGATTGCACCGCTTCAGGTGTTCTTCGTAGATCTTGCACACTCCTGCACCCAATTGAGAGGGGAAAAAACAAAGTCATTGGCTTATCCAAAATCTTCCCAGATCTTTTGAAAACCAATTGTTCAGCAAGGAGAAAACTGCTTTGGAATTTGAGACTCAAAACAAAATCATAAATTTCCAGGGTTTCAAATGGATGAAGTCCTGAAGTTTATACACAGATGCCTAAACCAAATATATTGAACGAACGTGTGAATTAACCCTAACCCCTGGAGTGCTTTTACTAGAAAGTATCCTGAATCCGCCAAAATCCACTAATTTTGTCATGAAATTTTTTTTTGGTGTCCCGAGTCCATCAGAATCCACCAGTGAGTCCATCAGAATCCACCAGTGTAGTACACATACCTCGCACACACCGAACATATAGCCAAGGAGAATCCCTCAAAGTCCCCCAACTGCTCAATATGGAGGTATCCTGAATCCATCAAATTTCTGCAGTACCGCTAGGCTTACTGTTTGAATCCATCAAAATCCCCCAACATTTTAAATATGGAGGTATCCTGAATCTGCCGAAATACTCCAAAACAGGGGTGTGGATTTTGATGGATTCAGGTACGTTCGGGTTAATGTCAGAAAATCACGACTAATTGTGAAGTACTTTTGTATAAAAAGCTGGGCACAATGTACATTGTACATGTAAACACAGTCAGTATATTAAGTTTCCGCCTCAGATTTGTGGATATCTGTTATGCCTGAACTAAATCGTTGTCCCAACTATAGTTGGGACAATCCCAACTATAATTGGGGTCATTACTACAGTTGGGCATAACATCCTCTCACCTTCCATGCAGTCTTTAACGGAGTCATAATCTGAGTACGTTCTTGTCTCGGCTGGCCCTGGCTGGATGAGTAGAATGGTGTGTGCCTGAAAAATAAATTGTTCGGCAGAAGTTCTTTTGAGTCACGAATTAGAAGGAAAGACAATGAAAAGTAAAGTTTGATTCCATGATTAAACACAATAAGAGGAAGATTTTGGGACAAACAAAAACAAACCCACTAAAAGCCGTGTAAACATAACAAATGATCAAATTAGGTCACTGGCACGCACTTTATAATAACTCGCCTAGATCCTAATCAGCATTATTTAGCAACAATCCCCCGTGATCAAACTGCTAATTAAAAAAACTTACATCTGCGATGCCATGTTTCATTGCCATAACTTAGGCAAAAAAAAAAGTCTCCGGTTTCTGGTATGTAGCTTGCGACGCGGCTTTTTTTTTTTTTACCTGATTTTTTTGCTTCAAATGTCGACTGATGACTGCAAATGGTGCCCGACTAAACTTAGTGCAAATATATGGGAGTCCAGAGAGGCCACATAAAGCTTATTCTTGACCATAACCCAATCTAAAAACACGTTAAAATTGTGCAGCAGCAGGATTCCAGTCAAACCAGCGAGTTTGGAGGTTTTGAGACATCATCTTTCATTGAAAAAAAAACCTTTTTCATTTTGCCGACGCGCATGGCTACGGCGACGCACGCGCATACCAGAAACCGGAGACTTTTTTTTTTTGGCCTTAGGCTTCCATAACTAATCCGTTACAGCTTCCCTAACAGTGTAACTAATGTTATTGCCATTTCAGCAAAATCAAGGCAGTATTAAAAGTTGTTTTTTTGTTGGCAGTTATGCAGAGTTTGACCTTAGTGGTAGTCCGCTCACCAAATGCGATTAAAACCAGCGGCGGACTAGTCCGAACCATTCCCTAAGCAGTCCGCCTAGCGAGTCAAAATTATTGTAAATAACATGGTTGTTTATAAATGACATTCTGGTGCAAAAATAGTGAAATATAGTTGCAGACTAGTGAAAAGGTCCGTGGACCAGATAAGAGTCTGTTTCACTAGTCCGACTGGCTAGTGTCTAGTGAAAACAAAAGTAAGTGCAAAACCCCCAATATGTAACATTTTACGAAAATTAGGGGCAAGTATTACAGAGTATGTAGTTATGGGCCCTCTTCCTAGTATTAAGAGAACAAAAATCCTAAAGTAGGTCATTTGACTCACACAAGTTATCCAACTAGTTAGCGATGTTTAAAACCAACAAAAAAAGTTGTCGATAGAGTGCAGGGTTTTGAATTTTTGAGGGAAATGTTGGGGTGCAACGGTGATTAAGATGACAAAACACAACACGAAAAAATATATATAGAGATGGCAATTACCTGCGTAAACCCATCCATGTGGGTAAAATATGTAAGCCTAATTAATAATGCATTTTGAACATTAAAGCTATAGTCCATCATTTGCAGCCATCCGAAAAGTAACTGGCGTAATTATTGTTGAAAAACAAACTTGGTTGAAAGATAGTAAGGGGACTAAACTCCCTGTGAAAATATTCTTTCTGGGAAGCTGTCGTTTTGAAGTAATTAACGAAAGAAGGCATTTCCAACGGTGATTCTTAAGAAGCACCGTAGGAAAATTTATATTAGTAGCTCGTTTTGTTATTCAGCGCAGTGCGCACAAGTATTGGAACGATGCACATCCGCGCGCGGTTGTTATAATTCGTCGGATCAGTGCGCTACGTCGCATATAGCTGCAATTCAAAACATGATTCAGTAACTTTTGATTGGAAATTGAGATCTTAGAATGCTGTTTTTCTCGGAATGTACAGCTGAAGCTTAGCTGAAACGTCATCAGGTTAGTTGCTTAGTATCCTTCGTTAGATTTTGAACTCTTTTGTTGCTTCAAACGAACAAAATGCACAAATTTTAAATGATGGACTGTAGCTTTAACATTATCCTCGATCCTGCATAATCTGTGCAGGTAACGCTTGCAACATGCGCCCGTTCTCAAACGAAAATTAAACAAATGTGAGTGCGTAGAATATGGAACGCGTACCGGTAGTTTGTCTGACAATACTGATAAAGTGATATTGATAAGCATCAAAATCCACAATGCACATTTTCATCTATATATATCGTCGCTTTGCTCACGAAGTGACAAAAAGTGACAAAAGTTCATCCTGAGATAATCGCATTTGAAGATATTCATTTTTTCAAAAGACATTTTCGAATTCAGAATTTTTTGCATTGTCAGATAGGATATGATTTGCTCTTGGTCAATTCATAGTTGTTTGTTAAAAATAGTTTGTAATTAAACAGTAATTCATAAATACCTCAGACAGTTTAGCTATTCCTATTGGTCGAGAGCCCGTCACGTGGCCGGTATTAAACGGATGATAAAGACATGGCTAGCTGGTCTTAAACACTTTTCCAGTGTCACAATAAAATGCGGACCCCTAAAAATCCAGTGCCTCTTAACGTTTCATTGGTTTAACGTTCACAATCCTCACGTAGGCATGCGCAACACTACAAGCGAGTCAGAATTTTATAGTTCTAAATTCAAAACGCAACGCCCCAGGTGCGTTCTGCGTGACATCGCGCAGAACATGTTACGCGCGCGTCAATCTCCATAAAAGGGTTGTTTACATCTTACTCGCCAGCTGAACACTCCATTATTTTGCTAGAGGGATGTTTCAAAAAGCATGAAGTGAACTTGTTGAACAAAATCGGGATTTTTTGAACGAATTATTTGAAATTTTTGTACGGATAAGGTATTTATGAATGGGAATAAATATGTGCTCGGTCGGTATTTATCACTCGTTTAATACCGCTTAGAGTCTGGGTGCTGATAATTACCCTCGCCTCCGGCTCGGGTAATTATCAGCACCCAGACTCTAAGCGGTATTAAACGAGTGATAAAAACCTCCGGAGCACACATTTATTCCCTTATTCATTAATAAAACTTTTTTGCACTTCGTGAGAACATCAATACTTTGGCTCCCATATTTTGCCAATTACCTTGTACACAGTTTTTGTCACTTTGTGGGATCATGAATCGTGGAGGCTTTACTTGTTTGTACTTTTTTTGACGCAACAAACTTGTTACTTTTAGCGCGTCATGACAGTTGAGCGCGCGCGCGCGTCTGTTCTTTTTCAACATCGCTCGCGCGCGCGTGTATGCTCCCATCCTGCCGCGTGCAGACCAATGTATAATTCCTCTGGCCCTGCTCACGAGGTGACTTTTTGTCACTTCGTGAGAACATTTTACACTTTTTTACACTTCGTAAAAATGAAAATCACCGATTTCAGGCTTTTTGTCAATTGTTTGTTTTCAATAATTAAGAAAGTAAACAATATTTTGCCTTGAAACTTGGTCAAATTGTTCCTTGAGACAACTATAATAAAATGGCTAGTAAAACTCAAAATCGAATAATTATCGATTTTCGAGGTTTTTGTCACTTCGTGAGCAAAGCGACGATATATACCAGTGCTGATGTCCATATTTATGCAGTGTCCAATGTTGAGTGAAAATCATTTGTTTGTAAATTGTAGTCTGTAAATCGATACTACCCAAAATGCAAGGCCATGGTCCAACATGTAGAATTGTTGTGCACTTTCTTGCAAATTGCGCAATCTTAAGAATGAGCGCGCATTCTTAAGAACGAGCGCACATTCTTAAGAATGAGCACGCAATCTGAAGAATGAGCGCTCATTCTTAAGATTGCGTGGGAATATCACGTGCGCAATTTATGAATTTTGCGCAATCTTAACAAACATTGCACGGCATAATTATGTTAAATGAAATGTATAGCGGTTAAAGGAGAAATAATTCATATAACGAGGAAAGAAAATGATCTATGCTTCTGTACTCGTAATAACTAGGCCTACGTCTACGATAATTTGAATCAAATTTTTGACGTTATCTTGTCGCCCATTCTTAAGAATGTGCGCTCAATCTGGAAGAGGTTTTTTTGCGAAGATTGCGCAAGGATCCGGTTGCGCAATCATAAGAATGTGCATGCGCATTCTTATGATTGCGCAAATCACAAGAAAGCGCACAACAGAATCATCAAGCCTGTGAAAAAAGTGTGACTGACTGATTTATTATGCATTGTGTGGGCCGGGTCGAACTCGCCTACCGAACATTTCACACCGTACCATTTTGAGAAAAGAAAATTCTTGGGAATCTGCTCCAAACGTCAAATTGGTCTATATTATGCCGTTCGACGTTTTTCTAGTTGAAGAGACGTGTTATTAATGAGAAGATGATTTCGATCACTTTTTGCTGCAGCTGACACACATCCAGCTCTCGACGTGGACGCGACGACGAATACCGTAACGCGTTGCATGTTGAGAGCGCCACTTACGTTCAACTAGCGCCAGCTAGCTAGCTAGCTAGCTAGCGTGGTTTTTATTAGTTAATATCCGACGGCTGTTGCTTATTCAACATCAAACCAAACTTTATTTTTTCATCGATTATACGATAATGTAACTGAGTGTAAAATTCGTGAATTGAAGAATTTTAAGTGGGTATGATTAAATTTCGAATTGATTGAATTTGGCTCTTTTTCTATTTGTACTTTTTTATATATAAAAGGAATAAAAGACATTGTTTACTTTTCAAGAGTTCATGAAATGTATACCGTCTGATTTTTAAGTCCAGAAGTGTGGTACCCGATCGGAAAGTAGCAATCGTGCGCGTATTGTTGAGCTCACAATTTAGAACCAGACTAAGTACTGCACTGCATGCACTGACAACTGATCACGCATAAAAATATCGTACACGTTGTCAATAGCGGATCGGAGTAGGCAGCTGGGCTAGTTCCGATGTTCCGATTGACTGTCAAAAAAGACAATTTTGGTACTTTGGATCTTGATTTAGTGTAAACAATAATGGAGGACGCCTGGGGAATATTAGCGCTTTCTTTTGCTATGTTAATTGGATGCTACATCGCTGGAACAATACCTCTTACGGTACCGCTTTCTGAGGCAAGTTGTGTACAAATTTTATTGTAGGACGAGGTGTAGGCCTACATATAGTTCTAGGAGTAGGAGTAGGCCTCGGTAGGCCTAGCCGGGGGGGGGGGGGGGGGGCGCCCTGAGAAGGGTAATCCTTAGGACACCTCTGTTTTTTACGAGTTCTGTTCAAAACTGACTTTTGCAGATGACTGTCCAGTACCTAAGTGACTTTTGCAGGCTAAAGGAATAAAGCAGTCTTTTTGCTTCAGATTTCATTATGTTATTGTTAGTCAAAGAAAATGGGACTTTCCTACCTTTTTTAGCAGTTCGCTATCTTGCTTTTTTTAAGTCTATTTTCTGTTTGTCATTGTCGTCTTTTACCCCTTTTTTCCCCTCATAAATCAAAGCCCTGCCCTCTTTCCACAAAATTAAACCTGCTGATATTCAAGAAGGTGTCACTGCCAACTGTTCAAATGTGTCAAGAAATTTCAGAATGTCACTTTTGAGTGTCATTTAGTCAGCTGTTTTTGGTGAGTCTTTTAACCTTATATAGGAACGGGGTCCTAAAGGTAAGGATTACCCTGAGAAGAACTCGAACGATGGTCTGTGTGCCTATACCATTCGTAAAACAGGGGTGTGCAAAAGGGTGATAATAGTACTAATATCCCTTTTAAAGTCGTTATTTGTGTGCTTTCTGGTTTCTGCAGGCATAATTCAAGCACTTGTTCTATACCGAATGTGTATTACTATTAGTTACCCCTAGAACTATGGGTCTTATGTGTAAGACCCATAGTTTTAGGGGTATTCTAGAAAAGAATCTGTATTTGCTTTGTTCTATCGTGCAGTGGATAATGTATGCCAACATGTAGTCAATGCACTTACCGTGTATAGTAGCACCATTAATTACGTCCCTATAATCCCCCCACAAAAATGATCTTTTTTGTGGAAATGCCTTTTTAACGTTTCGTTTTTATTCCTTGAAAGAAATATCAGAGGTCTCATCTTTACTCCAGAGTCGCTCAGTTCAACATGACCGTTTTTTGGGCCAAATTTATGAACATGAAAAAAATCACAGTCTGGTGCCTGGCTCAACGAGTAAGCGATAACGTTGTTTGTAACTAGGAATTCGACTGGCTCAGCGTGTTTGCGTGGTGACTGACTATGGGCCTTTTCAAAACTCTGGCTTCGTTTCGGGTTAAGAAAAGTTAAGGCCGCTGGAAGGCAACTCTGGGGACTCCAGTTAGATGTTGGTGCCTGTTAATGCTTCAAGAACTATCAGTTGGTTGATACGAAACCAAGAGTTGAACAATTCCGCTTGGTTTGCATCTTAGTGGTTCAGAATTCAGAGGCAAAGCCGTAGCTGAAGACGAAGCCTAGGTTTCGAAAACCCCCATGTGCGTTGTCGACCGTTGAGCATTGTAAAACGATATCGTGCTGTTTTGAAAAGCATGCAGGGCCCGGCGCGCTGTAGCTACGGTGGCTATCTAGCTCTGTGTGCAGGCTCCGTGTGTGAGTGGTGTACGAATAGCGTTGTAGGGCCCGGCGCGCTGTAGCTACAGTGGCTATCTAGCTCTGTGAGCAGGCTCCGTGTGTGAGTGGTGTATGGACAGTGTTGTAGGGCCCGGCGCACTGTAGCTAGCTACGGTGGCTATCTAGTTCTGTGAGCAGGCTCCGTGTGTGAGTGGTGTATGGACAGTGTTGTAGGGCCTGGCGCGCTGTAGCTACGGTGGCTATCTAGCTCTGTGAGCAGGCTCCGTGTGTGAGTGGTGTATGGACAGTGTTGTAGGTACCGGCGCGCTGTAGCTACGGTGGCCATCTAGCTCTGTGTGCAGGCTCCGTGTGTGAGTGGTGTACGGACAGTGTAGTAGGGCCTGGCGCGCTGTAGCTACGGTAGCTATCTAGCTCTGTGAGCAGGCTCCGTGTGTGAGTGGTGTATGGACAGCGTTATAGGGACCGGCGCGCTGTAGCTACGGTGGCTATCTAGCTCTGTGAGCAGGCTCCGTGTGTGAGTGGTGTATGGACAGTGTTGTAGGGCCTGGCGCGCTGTAGCTACGGTAGCTATCTAGCTCTGTGAGCAGGCTCCCTGTGTGAGTGGTGTATGGACAGTGTTGTAGGTACCGGCGCGCTGTAGCTACGGTGGCCATCTAGCTCTGTGTGCAGGCTCCGTGTGTGAGTGGTGTATGGACAGTGTTGTAGGGCCTGGCGCGCTGTAGCTACGGTGGCTATCTAGCTCTGTGAGCAGGCTCCCTGTGTGAGTGGTGTATGGACAGTGTTGTAGGGCCCGGCGCGCTGTAGCTACGGTGGCTATCTAGCTCTGTGAGCAGGCTCCGTGTGTGAGTGGTGTATGGACAGCGTTGTAGGGCCTGGCGCGCTGTAGCTACGGTGGCTATCTAGCTCTGTGAGCAGGCTCCATGTGTGAGTGGTGTATGGACAGCGTTGTAGGGACCGGCGCGCTGTAGCTACGGTGGCTATCTAGTTCTGTGAGCAGGCTCCGTGTGTGAGTGGTGTATGGACAGTGTTGTAGGGCCTGGCGCGCTGTAGCTACGGTGGCTATCTAGCTCTGTGAGCAGGCTCCGTGTGTGAGTGGTGTATGTATTTCACTCCACCAGCTGAAGTGAAAAAATGAATTTTTTTCCCCAGAGACTAGTCTAGAATTGAAAGAGTCGTATGCAATCCTCTTTTACATTTACTAAAAGAGAACCAGGCACTGGCCAAATGTCCACAGCACTTTTTTTTTCTTTTCTTTTTTCAACAAAAGTGCCATTATTTTCCATGATAGTAACATTGCTGGCACAATGCTTTCTCTATTACTAGGGACTACCATTTGTGTACAACGATTCTGTGTCTGTATTGGTTTATAACCTTTCTCTGTTATTTTACAAATTCTCCATCGGGTATGGGGGGCTGCAGATTGCAGTCTGCGTTGGCAACTAAAGTGATGTTTATGCTGTTTGTATCCCTCTTCTACAGAGCAAGATGAGATTTGTAACAGTCCTGGGGGCAGGTCTTCTTGTTGGCACAGCACTGGCTGTCATCATTCCAGAGGGAGTACACACATTATTTGCGGGAACGACACAAGGTAACCATCTTCAGTGAAATGTTTAATCCTAACCACCCCCAAAAACCTTCAGAATCCAACGGCACGTTTTGTTGGAATCTGTTGGAGTGAATACTGCACTAGTAAACTGATTATGCTTTACAAGTAGTACGGCAGATACATGTAGGTGATGGGATTGTGCCATACAAGCATGGCATTTGGCACACCGAGAAAATGTATGTCATGAGAAAGATATTTGGCTATAGGGCCATCACAAATTTGTCCTTTGAAAAAATACAGGTAAAATAACAAGCAATGGCAGCCATTTTGAAAATTTTGATACTTTTTTTGAAAAGACAAATCTGTGATGGAGCTATAGCCAGACATATTTGTTAAGACACATTCTGACTGTGTGTCAAATGCCATGCTTGTATCATCAAAGGCGCAATTCCCCCCAAATATTTACCCTATCTGCCCCACCAATAGGGGTCAGGCATACCTCCATAATCAGAGTCCAATAGTTTGGGTGTTGAGTTTACCATATGGTGTTGAGTTTTACAAGAGTGAGGAAGGTTCCTTAATAAATCACTCAAGAAGGTTAGGGTTTTGAATGGACTCTGTGCAAAGGAATCCCTACACAGAGAAAATGACAAAAATTGCCCCAATATTGAAATAGGTTAGGTGATGCCAGGTCAGAATTGAATAGAATCAATTCCAAATCAGCATCTCTAAACCTGGAATCAGAACCACGATTCCACCTTTTTGAGGAATCAATTCCCAGAAGTAACAATTCAAATCTCCTGGAACAGAATCTAGACATTTCAAAACAACTTTTATGTCACTTTACATACTTACATGTAAATGTTTGTGGCAAATGATCATTTTGACAAGATCGTAACACCTCTCGTGGTGCTGCATATTAATTCAGTATTCTCATTCAATAGTGAAAATAAGGAGGTCTCTCTTTCAGTGGCAGACACAGGAGGGTGGCCTGTATGGGCCCTCTTCCCCCGCCGGTGAGTGGGGAAAAAAGAAGGGTAGGGGAAAAAGAAAAAAAGACGTGTTCCCCAACCCCCCACCCCTTCAGTTGTCTGAAATCTGTGGATAAGGCCCCAACAAAAAATAGTCTGTCTCTGGTCAGACCGAAGTTCCGGAATTGATGCGGCGACGCTTTTTTTTTTTTGGTTTTTTGGGTGGCTATTTTTTTTTCAAGCTTGTATTGTACGGACAAGGTGGGTACTATTTTGCTTTTTTGTGTCCTCATTACATTGGTGTCCTCCATAATTTGCCTTGGTACCCTTTATCATTTGCCTAGGTGCAATTTCCCCATTCCTTGGTGCTCCTTGGTACAAAAATTTGAGGAGGCGCGGTAATAGAGGGCGCTGTTGTAGCTTCCATATTAATTTGAAGAAGAAAAAAAAAGGTTCACGCGCATGATTATAATCGACGCGCGCGCTGACCAGAGACCGAGTATTTTTTTTTGGCCTAATACATCTTTTTCAAGTTGAACAAAGAAGGGGTTTGAACCTGCGACCTCCAGATTACCGTTGCGGTGCTCTGCCAACTGAGCTATTCAGCCCGGTAATCCGGAGGTTGCAGGCTCAAACCCTGCTCCAGTCAATGTCTTTGTTCAACTTTAAAATTATCATAAATTGCCTAGTCAGTTTTCCTTTGTGGTTTGTTCAATAATGCATCTCCTAATTGTGAGTAATACATCAACCATTTCAAACTGGTTTAAAAATGAAAGTTGAAAGCTAATAAGCAGCTGTAGCAAGTTCACGGCCTTAAAAAATAAAAGGGGTTTCACTGGCTTAAAAATTGAACCAACAATATACATGCACTGCATACAAACATGTACATGCACATTTCGTGAGTGAATACAATAAAACTATACATCGTTAAGTCAAACAGCTGCCATTATTGCCCAACTTAAGTTCACAATGAAAAACTTAATGCCTATTGCATCATGACCTCAGTATCATGTCATTTTGAGAAAAACCGATATATGGTTACACTCCTAATTTCAGAACAAGCGTACTCTTGCCATTTAATATTCAAACTATCCAGAAGCTTGGATCATTTGATATCTTCCACTGTATCTAAACCTGATTATTATTTCATCTGCACGTTAGCTTCTTTGTAAAACAAAGGTAATACAATATGTAGTTTTGTGGTTGAGCTCTTCACAAGTTCATCTGAAGTGTGGTCACACACTTAAGTCCAATCAATAATAATAGGATATGAACAATAAAATAAAGGAAAGCCTTTGTCAGTTCATTTGAATAGCTTGTTACTTGACTGGAGATTGACAGACTTGTGATTTTACATATTTAACTGAGTGTGCATTATTAACCCTCCTATGCAAACATACATTCTGTGCCAAGTTATCAAGTGACTGTTTTTAACAGTTAAGAGCTCCCGGCCTACATAAAGCAGGATTGACTGGCTGAGACTGTTTATTTTTTTACTTGATACAGCTGTGCTTTGACTGTAGGTGATTGATAAGACAGCTGTGCCCACCAGTTTCGTACTATTGTCTGTTGACTGAATTTGACTTGTCAGAGTGCTTGCATAAAGCTATAGTCCATCATTTGTAATTAGTGCATTTTGTTCGTTTGAAGCAACAAAAGTGTTCAAAATCTAATGAAGGATACTGAACAACTTACTTGATGAAGTTTCAGCTCAGCTTCAGCTTCGTATTCCGAGAAAAACAGCATTCTAGGATCTCAATTTAAAATCAAAAGTTGCTAAATCATGTTTCGAATTGTTTTGAATTGCAGCTTTACGCGATGTTGCGCACTGATCCAACGAATTATAGCAACCGCGCGCGCCTGTGCGTCGTTCCAATGCTTGTGTGCGCTGCGCCGAATAACAAAACGAACAACTAATTTAAATTTTCCTACGGTGCTTCTTAAGAAGCACCGTTGGAAATGCCTTCTTTCGTTGATTTCTTCAAAATGAGAGCTTGACAGAAAGGATAATTTCACAGGGAGTTTAGTCCCCTTACTATCTTTCAACCAGTATGTTTTTCAACAATAATTACGCCGGTTAATTTTTTGGATGGCTGCAAATGATGGACTCGGGCTTTAAAATATGATCTGACTGTTTGTGAATACATGTAATCTGTGTAAAAGGCATGGCAGGGGAAGCGTTTAAACAGTAGGAGGGTTAATGACATTACAGTAGTGCAGGGCAAAACCCAGTTTTGAATTTGCATCATATCTGCACAGTGCAAAAATTCTATCATATAAATAGTGTTTGGTTGGGGTGCCCGCTGTTTTATTCAATTTGAACCAGCTAGCCAACTGCAGCAAGCTAGGTGGTCGAGTGGTAAGACGTCTGCACTAGTAAGCAGGAGCTCGTGGGTTTGAGTCCCACCAGAGTAGCCTTGTGAATTTTTCTCACAAGCCTTCGGACAGCAGTGGTTATGAAACTACGTCGGTGAACGGCAAAACCCAATATTGAATTTTACATTCATTGTCGACTGTGCTTTACTACAGAATCACACGTTCACGTTGTGAACCCGCCAGCTGTAGGGGCAGAAAACCAGGCGGGAGGGCAGCCGGCCGATGGCAACCCCCACGAAGCAAATGGAGAAGCCCACGCTCACACTCACAGTACACACAACGAAGCAGAGCTCCACTATGTTATAGGGGTGTCATTAGTTCTGGGATTTGTTTTCATGCTACTGGTGGATCAGATCGGTGGCGCACATGGTCATTCCCATGCACAAATAACAAGTAAGTTAGTATTTGATAGATGAGGGAGAAAAGGCATATTATGTTTGTTTATGCTGGTTATACACGTATTAAATTATTCTAGACAGAGCTTTAGCTCTGAAATTAAAGTTCTAGTGAAAAGTACTTGTAGTTCTGTGATCCACACCAGTCTTACCATACGAATAATGAATTATCAAAAGCAATCGTAAAACATGTCAGCCAAGATAATTTAACCAGGGTTCCTGTGGTCATGGAAAACCTAGAAAAGTCATGGAAATTTGAAAATCAATTTCCAGGCCTGGAAAAGTCATGGAAAAAAGCACAAATGTCAAAAGTCATGGAATTTTCATAATTTAGCATCAGAATTCGAGTTTTATATCCGACAAAAGGCGACTAATTTCACTGATGCAAGCATTTTAATTTCAATTTTTTTTGCCCAGTGAACAATTTTTACAGTTTGATCTGCATTTTGATGAACTAGGTCATAGATTTTCATAATTTGGTCATGGAAAAGTCATGGAAAAGTCATGGAATAGTCATGGAAAAGTCATGGAAAAGTCACAGAAAAGTCATGGAAAAATCATGGAATTTATTGTCCTAAAGGTGCAGGAACCCTAATTAACATAATTATAACAATACGCCTTTAGTATCGGGCCACACCTACTGCGCAACAACATTCGCATCTATTCAATATAGTGCATGATTCAGAAGCGTGCGTCATATACAAATGCAAGCATGCCAACTCTTCTTGGACATAAATTATGGCTGTTATTTGTCAAATCATCATGGGCTGGGCTTAATGGATTCACTGTCCAACCAGGTCTTACCAATTCAAGTCACATTCCACTTTGCAAAGTTAGATTTGAAGTTGAACATGAATGTACATGCAAGCCCAATCCATTCAATCCTTACCAAGCCTAAGCCTAACTTTAAACTCTACCCAGCTCAGCGTAGCCCAACCTAATCCAACACGACCCAACTCGGTCCAAACCCCATGTACCTCAAAATTGTCAATATCTTCAGAACTTTGTTTTACAGCCTTGGCTTAAAACTCAGTGTTATATTGTGTTTTTGATACTGTAAATTCATTGGTCTAGAAAGGCTACCGTTACTTCATAAACTGCGTTCCATATAAAGTATGTCATATACACTGCGTTTCATATAAATTGCCAACTTTGACATTAGCTAGAAACCAAACAAAAAATATTATACCCCCAATTTTTGGATATTTTGTAGAAAACATGGTGGGGAATAATTTTCATTGAAGTTCGTCTCAAGGTCACGTGATCCACAAGGTCAAATTCAAGTTCAAAGTAAAGGTCAAAAGGTCATCATACTTACTCTGACATGAAAAGTAATGGTAAATTTGGATTCCTTATGATGTTACCTTTCCAAAGCAACCAAGAACAACAAATTCGAAAACCGTTTGTCCGATGGCGCTAAAACTTAAAATTTCAGCTTTTTCAGCCTAAATTACCCCACATACTAAATATAAGCAAATTTGAAGGGGGTGGGGTTTAACCCATTGGGTGATTTGACACGGAATGACCCTTTGGACACAAAGTTCACAAAGCATGTCTTTCTTCCCCAGCAGGTGAAGGTGAAAATGCCTCCAGAACAACTCGAATTGGTTTCACAGCTACATTAGGACTAGTTGTACATGCAGCAGGTATGTATGGCACTTGTCAGGGAATGGATAAGGGGAAGGGAAAACCATGCATAGACTCAAGTGCACAAGTACCCTCTCGATGGCTACACGTGTGCATTACAGGCGTATGCCTGGCGCCCACGCAAAGATGATGTTGGCATGGGCAGTTTCTGGATAAAATTAGTTGCAACTTTTCCTTAAACAGAAATATATGTAGCATATGTCATTAACCGTCCTATGCAAACATACATTCTGTGCCAAGTTTTCCTTTAAGTCAAAATCAATCAACAGTTTCAACAGTTAAGAGCTCCCTGCCTACATAAAGTATGATTGAATGGCTGTGACTGTTTATGTAACTTGATATAGCTATGCTTTGACTGTAGGTGATTGATAAGCCAGCTGTGCTTGCTTCTCGCCTGTTTTTGTCTGTTGACTGAATTTGACTAGTCACAGTGCTTGCTTGACATATGATCTGACTGTTGGTGACTAGCCTGTGTAAAAGGCATGGCAGGGGAACAGGATTGATTTTTGACTGTCTGTGACTGTTCAGATAGCAGGAGGGTTTTAATAGATTTTGGCACGTCAATCACAATGTATAGACTCATAAATTCACCCATACAGAACATGTGGCTCCCTCGTTTCAAATTAACCTTTCATTTCTGTTCGCAGTGCAGCCATCTTGAATATGTGTGCTTTTGTTCAACATGAATTATCATAACTGGACAAACCTCCAAGATGGCCCCTGAATGCAATCCATCTAACATGTACCTTTAGATTTCATTACCAGCCTATGGCTGAGTATTTGCAAGTTGCTCATTGCTTTTAATACCAGGTGTTTATTTCACGGTTCCTCCGGCCTGGGGAAAAAAAACCTGGAAAAAGTCATGGAATTTTTTTGGAATTTTCGGGCTTGGAAAAGTCATGGAAATGTGTAAAAATGAATTGTTTGAGGGCCAACTTATTAGCATTGGAATCTGATTTTATACCCGACAAAACACGACAAATGATGCTGGTACAAGCATTTTGGATTCATTTTTGACCATTTTCGAAAGACATTGTAAATTTTTCCTGTTTCTGTTAGTGTTAAGCACTTTTCATGGAACAAATTTTACAGTTTAATCTGTGTGTTGATGAACCAGGTCGTGCTTTTTCATAATTTGGTCTTGAAAAAGTCATGGAATTTTATTGTCTGAAACGTGCAGGAACCCTGTTATTTGTGGAGTTTGACAGTGACCGAACCCAGGCGCAGGATTGTTTTTCACGAACCTCGATGCCAGACGGGTTCAGGCCATCATCTGAGGGTAGCACACCCTGACATTTCCGGCCTCGCTCGCTGCGAGCGGGTCGCAGACAGATATTTCCGGCCTCGCTCGTTGCGTGTTTATCCGTCATCCGTTCCGAATACCGCAAAACCTCTGGTGTATACACGTCATCGATGTGAACTGGTTAATAGCAACACACTTTTACTTCATTGCATTGAACTACATCTGTGCTAATTTGTATTGTAATTTGCATAAACAGATGTCACTATTCATTGCATTTGTAGAACACACAATAATCTGATTTTTTTCTTCTTCTCCTCACCAGCTGATGGTGTTGCCATGGGAGCAGCAGCCATGGGCCGAACAGATGTCCAGATGATTGTGTTCATTGCAATCATGTTGCATAAGGTAGAAATTCCACCTATTCATTTTCAGCTAATTTAGTATTCAACTAATTTCGCATTTGATTATTCTAATTTGAACTTGATCGTCTATTCGAATACTCGAAATACACTAATCAAGTTTTACATGCTCCAGCCTAAACTGGCCGCTGATAAGAATTTGCGTGTCGGAAATCGACAATTTATTGCTTTGAAAAAGAAAGGTAACTAATATTTGTTGTGGAACCTCAAATAGTGGCTTTCAATAAAAGTGTGGTATTTTACAAACAATAAAAGCATGCAACATGTATCATTAAAATAGCATTGTTGATGTTTTTCATCATCTCGCGATCGCTCTCATTTTTCCAATATTTGTATCAAAAAGTGCTTTTTGGATATTTGGTTGAAGATAGAATATTTGTACATTTGGCACACCCATACTGGAATTTGTATCCTTGTGGAGTCATTTCTGTGTTCTCGTGTACTAAAGTTTTCGAGTTTGAAAGTGTACTTTCAAAATGCTCATATTATAATGAGAATTAATTTCCTGGGCTGAAATTCGGACTTAGTATCCCTTACATAAAATACTTCAATTTGAGACGGATCAACACACCTTGGTAATTCCTAGTTTTTGAGTAAAATCCCTATTTCCTGGTAACCTTGTGGAGACGTGTTCACCTATTACCCTGTGGAGACGTGTACAATCTTTTGTTTCCTATTGTGCACGTGTCTCCATGGGGTACCGTGTACCAGATCAGTTTTACTGTTCATTGCGTGCTTTGTCATGAACATGGACAATCATTCAAATGTGTACACTGTGCATTTGCAATGCTTTGCCATTGTGCATTGCAATCTTTGTCATAAACATGGACAAACGTACAAATGTTCACAGTAGTTTTGATGTTGGAGCCGAGAATTTGTGTTTATTTGCTCCTGAGTAGTTAATTACAAAGCCATGAATTTTATGATGACCCGTGTGCCGTGTTTGTAGATTTACTGTGGTATACACACATACTGGGTTTTGAAGCCAGCAAGATTTTGAAGTGTTCTCGTGCAGAAAATATTTCAATCAGCAATGTCAATGAAGGCTCAGGGAAAATTATATGGGCGTGCAGTTTTTGGATGCATATTTAGTAGAAAAGCCATTTAGTTTTACATAAAACTGAGATGCCCTGAAGAGAGTGGGCAATATCACATAAGGATTTGTAATAAAATATTAATGGTAAGTTTCATCTTGCTGTCCCCTGTGTACAATATTTCGGATTCCCACGTATGGAATTCATTTCACTTTACCAATATTTTGAGCATGTAGTGTTTTCTTGTAGCACTTTAGTACTGTACTGTACTCAAGGGGTTAAGCCCATTTCTGAGTCCCCGAGTAGTCTGTAATAAAGGTTACAAAAGCTGACGAGTTCATGCAAGAAATGTGAAATTTTACTAAATGCAGGGACATTTTTTGCATACTTTTTGTGTCCAAATTCTCGGTTTCCCATACTCAAAAGCTTACCCTTGGACCACACTGTCTAGTTACTCTGTCCCATCTGATATCACTATGAACCAGAAACGTCTGTAAAAACGCTTTCGTTCCGGACAAAATGTCTGAAATGTGAACAATGGCGATTATTTTTCAGATATTTGGTCACCGTTTCTGACTTTTTATGTCTGAAACATAATCCCTGGATGTCTGAAACATAAACCTGCTAAAACCACTTACGTTTATCTTAAACATCTGAAACGTAAGCCTAGTATAAAAAAAACTGGCTGTGTTAAGTTTCAGACATATCCAGGTGTCTAACAGGCAAGTGTTTTGATAGGCTTACATTTAAGATATTTTGAGGCTAACAGAATATCTGACAGGTAAGTGGTTTTGACAGGTGTACACAACATGTATGAGAAGGTGACCAAATGTCTGAAATATAATCGCTAGTGTAAACTTTTCAGACTTTTTGTCCGGAACAAAAGCATTTCACACATTTTTGGTTCTTATTGTTTTTCAGTATACTTGTTGAACTTGCGAAAATAGGACTCGACAACAACACTGTTGACTTCTTATTAAGTACTGTCTTGATGCAGAATCCTACAACTGTTTTTGCCCTATTTGAACACAGGCACCGGCGGCATTTGGCCTGGTGACGTTTCTACTGCACGAGAACTACCAACGCAATAGGATACGCAGACATCTTGTGGTCTTCTCTATGGCAGCACCCGTGGCCGCCCTTGTAACATATTTTGGTTTGAGTCACGTAAGTTTGGCAATAAATGCGATTGGAAACTTTGCGTAGCGGAGAGTACAAGTTGGGAGAAGTTTGTGGATGGTCATTGTGAAATGACTCTCTCTGATTCAGGGGTGATTCTGAGAAGAACCAGATGTCTAAACTCTGTGGTGATGGTCAGAGCGTATGGTCAGAAGAAAAATGACCAAAATGTCAAGTTAACACCACTGGTGTATCTGCAAACTACTCCCAAGTTCTGAAGACACCGTATCCTGTTCGGTGTCGTAGCCAACATTTTTTTCAGGGGAGGGGGGGGGGGCACCAGGATTTTATGAAGGGGGGAGCATCAAGGGCGGACCCACAGCAAACTTTTCCCCAAATTATCACAGTGCTGGCTGACTAGCCAGGTGTTGCAAAATCGAAAAGGGGTGGGGGGGGGGGGGGGGGGCTGGCCTCTTTTGACACTTGAGGACACTCTTTTTCCTTGTCACATTATTCAGATTTCATCAATCCATATGGTTAAGGAAAAAAGAATTGTGTAAAATTCTAGTAATCTACATTCCTCTAACGATTTAATTACGAAAAAGCAAAATTCTGGTTTTTTTTGTTGTTGCGGGGGGGGGGGGGGGCACATATCCCAGCCCCCCCCCCCCACCCACACACCCCCACACCATTGATCCTGTTCCAACCTACGACATATAAGGTTGAATTTATGATCACCCCTCATACATATTTACAAGCCAAACACACTTTTGTTATCGGCCCATGTTTCAACCCATCTGGAAAGTAAAAAACAAAACTAGCTAACCCACACGCACTCACATGCTATGCTTGTACTGTTGACGGACTGGGAAGTAGTACCTTCAAGATTAGCTCCTACACTCCCAAATGCTACCGTTGCGATTGCATGGAAGTTGCTGGTGGTACCATACTAAAAACATACACGAAAGACAAACCAATTCCGCGTGAAGGACTTTTCATGGAATTGTTCAACTGTAGATGATAAAACCAGACATGTATGAGGTGTAATTAAAATAAATACAACATTGTATATTTCAGGGAAGAAGCGCAAATGTACTGGTCCCTCAATGTTGGCCAAGTTTAACTACTACTCTCTGTTTTGTGTATGAGGTCAAGTCAATCAACACCTAGGGACTGGTTATTTTGCATTACCATGTTGTATTTGTATGATATTTGCACGGAAACCAGGCCTTAATTTTGCGGCTCTGTCATAAGCTAGGAATCTCCACTAATACTTAGCAGAAACATTTGTGGTAATCCTTTTCATATTTCCAGTGTTAAAAAACAAATTGTGGCTAGCAGAAACTTTCGTGCTAACAGAAAAGGTTAAAACAGTAAGCATGTTTGTTGGGTTAGCTCCCATAACAAAGGAGTTTGTGCTTAAAGTGTGGAATGTGTGTGCTATGATTGCAAGCATGGAATGCTGATCCAAAGCACATAAGTCGTCAGTAAACAGAACCATGAGACTAAGCTATGACGACAATTTATGAATTTTTTTTTCTTGTCTTCTAAACAGGCTAGCAAAGAAGCGCTATCCACGTTCAACGCCACAGGCATTTCCATGCTCTTCTCTGCCGGCACGTTCCTGTACGTCGCGACGGTCCACGTTCTTCCAGAGATTGCCGGGTTGCGGCGCGTATCGTCGGACGTAGAGGGCAGCACAGAAATGACGTCAGGTTTCAGTCGGTTAGAGCTCCTTGCAGTAGTCAGTGGGTGCCTAGCTCCATTGGTATTGTCGTTAGGTCATCATCACTAAATACTTTGCATTATTTTTAAAAAAAAAAATCCAAAGTTGTGGTTGAACCCCCAAAGAATTGCCTGAAGTGGACTAACCTGTAACCTTCAAAATGTGGTACTGGCACAAGTGCATTATTTTGGAGGTCTCAGGTCCGAATCCTGCTTCACTCTATTTTTTAGGGGTGCATCTACAATTTGATTAGAGATTGTACATCTCCGTTGTTCTTTGTGGTTTAAGTTAACTAAGGGAATAAGTGTGTGTTTGGGAGGTGATCCTGAATTCTGATAATTACCCGAGCCGAAAGTGAGGGTAATTATCAGCATAGTGTTTAATACCGACCAATCACATATTTATTCCCATTCATAAATACATTTTCGGTCAAAAAAAATCAAAACTCTTCCACAATGTCGATCAACAAAACACCTCTCAAGCTATACAACGGTAAGGCCCTCTGGTAAACAACTCCTTATATGGAGATTGCCGCACACGTCACGCATTCCGGTGTACCGGAGTACCGGTGTAGAGGGAATTTAGCATTATGAAATACTGACTCACTGGTAGTATTGCGCATGCCTTCATGAGGATTGTGAACGTTCAACCAATAAAATGGTGCTGGCAGCAGATTTCATAGGAGTCAAAATTTCACGTGACACTGCAAAAGTGTTTAAGACCAGCCAGCCATGTCTTTTTCAACCATTTAAAACCGGCCACGTGACTGGCTCTCGACCAATAGGAATGGGTAAACCGTCTTAGGTATTTATGAATAAACAATTAAAGACCAACTCTGCAGTGCTGGGTTTGGCTCAATTCTTAGCGCTATTTAGGGTGTACATTGTAAATGTTGTTTAACCTTTTAACTTTTTTGAAGACCACATCAAAATTTTGCATCATAAATGCTAGGGTTATATCCTCGCATTTAAATGTAACGTTTGTAGCAGTACTTCAAATACAAACTGAAAGTGTATGCAATCCTTAATTAAAGTGCATTACGTGAACGACAGGGAAAATTAATGGATTAAGGGCTTATGAACTGCCCTATCCTTCCCTGCTTTTCATTGGGACATGCTCAGTTCACCCGAAGAGTTCATTAGAGCTCGAAAATGTGCAGTGTTTGGCTACCTGTATCGTTACTGCACTGTCAGATGTCAAATTCTGGCACTGTTTTCCTTGATGTGCGAAGCTCAGCAATTTTTTTTTTTTTTAATTTTAAAATTAGGACATCTAAAAGTTTTGACAGAAATTACCAAGTTGCAAAACACACTTGATGAAGCTGACAGCAGGAAAACAGTGGATTGTTATCAAATAATGAATGCTTATGAGTGCAATGGTAAGAATAATTCCATCAGGTGACATATGAATATTGCTGAGTGGAATGGAACATTCCACCTGTCACTGAGTGGAATGATTCTTTCCATTGCACGAAAGTGAAACATTCATTATTTATTTTATACAACGCCTGAATAAATCCTCCTCATCTGATCGGTAATTTTGTAAACTGGTACTATGAATGTATCAGAGTTATCAGAGCTGTGTCATAGTGCAACCAATAGTGTGACTGTGAATTGGAAGTTATATTTGCCGAGGAATAGAACTTATATTTTTGAGTAGTGGCCGCACCGTGCATTGAAACGAATAATTCAATGACACTTGATCAAGGACCCACCAATCAGACGACTGGGATTTATGCAGGCGTTGTATAAATCTTGAATATACTATGAATTAAGTCCAGTCTTGGGAACGTTGGACCAGGACAATCCAGAGCATACCACACGTGAGCTATTTTCAAGCTAATGTGCGCCTGCGTGCTGAATGCACAGACTTTCTCTGTTCCTAGTTCCCAAAACTGGACTTGATTCATCTTGTTGATAGTGGCCTCTGTTGCTGCAGCAATGACTGGCTGCATCCTAAAAATAAATCCAGTCTTGAACTAAGACTAGGTTTTACTTGACTCTGACCCCTGACCCCTGACCCCAACTGAAGGTCTGAGGAAAACAAACAAGTTGGAAGGTCAGCTTGCTTGTTAGACAAATTCACGCAATTGCAGGAGGATTTTGTTTACCTTGCTTGGAGAAACACTTTCAGCAGTTGACTGTTGTACGTTTGTCTTCCCTCGAACCTGTTTTCCATTAAGTTTGACTTACGTTAAATTTTGGCTAAGCAAAAATGGGTTACCAGCCAAACCCAACTCAGAAGCGTGACATTTGTAACTGGTGCCCGGTGATTTTGCTAAGCAACTGTCTCTGCTTAGCTGCTTAATGACACCGGGCTCATAAAGACTGATCTTTTTGTTTCACGTTGGACATTGTGTTGGGTTAATGTCTGTAGGAAATTAATTCTCAAAATATAATACCTGGCTTTTTAAAAAGTGCATTGTATTTATTTTTCTATTGTGTATTTGTAAATAAATAGTTCAGCTGTCAGGTCACATTTATCTTCGATCATGTCGCATTTGTGTCATTGGACACAAATGTATTGCCTTGAATTTGCAGACACAAGTCATAGTTGATCAATTTTAATTAATAATTGCTGTCAGCTTCAAGCTGACACGTTTTTTAGTGATGAATTTTGTGGTCAAAACCTGTGGTGACAATATCCACGAGCAACCTGAAATGGAATCATTTAAATCAAAATCAAAATTTCAGATCAGTAGATGTCATACTTTTTGAGAACACTGTGAAAATGCGTCTTCATTTTTCTGGACGCAATATTCATTAAACCCTCCTTTTGTTTGATCAGTCACAGACAGTCAAAAATTCAATCCTGTTCCCCTGCCATGCCTTTTACACAGGCTAGTCACCAACAGTCAGATCATATTTCATGTAGGCACTGTGACTAGTCAAATTCCACCAACAGACAAAAGCAGGTAACTGGTAGGCACAGCTGGCTTATCAATCACCTACAGTCAAAGCATAGCTGTATCAGATTTCATAACAATCACAGCCAGTCAATCCTGCTTTATGAAGGCAGGGAGCACACAACTGTTAAAAAATAGTCACTTGATTTATTTTGACTGCTGGGCTGGCCTTGTTGAAATTGCCAGCCAGAGAGGGAGGGTTAATATATTCTGACTTTCACCCTCCTGTGGAATGATCCCAGTTTGTCACTCAAGAAGAGTAATTCCCATTCACAGATATGTAACTGGTTGCAAACTAAACTTAGCGATGGTTTATCCTAACCATGGCAAGGAAATACATGTATAGTAAATTCCTCTTTTCTCAAAAATGGCAGCATAATAGGTGTAATGATTTCAAAGTATGCTTGATCCTATTATTTACAAACCAAGTAGGATATTTCATATTTTGTCAGATCGATTTTTGAATGTTTGCAGACGGTGTCCATTACGTGTAAATCCATATTCTACAGCTTTCAAATGCAAAAATCATCACCACGTGATGAAACTTACTCGATTCAGGCATCTCACTGACGAAACATTAAAAGATCAAAAACAATTTACAAAATATAGTTCATCATTCCAATTTCTTTTGTTAAAAAGTATGAAGGGTAATTTGAAAATGTAGTTATTAAACAAGATGAATTTAAAATCTAGAGAGCGTAATGTAAAGTTTACCCCTGCTAGTGAAATTGTGGTCAATTCAAATCCTCTACTGAATCACAAATCTTTCCCCAAGCTGGGCAAAAAAGGTCATCACCAGAAAGTAGGGTTGTTTGTTATAATAAATCTGCCCATTGTTTGCTCTTGGTGCTTGATGTATTTGGGGAAGCCATAGATTTTTTCCACTTGTAATATTTTTTTCCCAAGTTACCAATGAATTGTTTTTAAACCAAACAAGGACAAATTTGTAATGGCATTTTATTTGATTTTTATTTTCAAACCATATTCTTCTTTACATTCAACTTTTGTTTATGCTGAGCCAAAGTTTAGCCTTGGCATCACAGTTGACCATACTTCCCCTTGTACAGTGTGTATAAAGAAAAATGCAAACAAAATACAATGGAATGCCAGACGTAGAATGAGTAACCAACATAGATAATATAGGTATGGCTTGAAAGATGTGCTTTCCACTTTAAAATGAGACATCAAACGTCCAAATCTGATAATTTTTTAGTTATGAGTAATTTTTCAAGAGAGGCCAAAATGACCACGGGACCAACTTTTCAATTTTAGGCATTTGGATGAAGGTAGCCTACTTGCTCTGTGTGAATAATTGCCTGGCCTACAAAAAAAAATGTGTTTAGCGAGTAAACACAATTCTAAACACTTTCTTGCTATCAGTTTGTAAACATATTTAGCATGTTACACATTGTACGTCTGGCATTCCGTTTTTGTTCGCATTTTTTGATACACACTGCATAGATCAGTTGCACTGCAGCCATCTTTGAGGCGTGTGCTTTTGTTCAACAGGGATACGCAGGAGTAGATCTTGTGCATTCATTGTTAATGAATTAACATAACAAAACAGACGTCCAAGATGGCCGCCGAATGCAAACCATCTATTGGCCCGTTGTAGGCTGAATGTGACATGACTTGATACATATCTTGAGCATTTTGTAATAGACAGGACAGTAGAATTAATGATGTTATTTAATGACTTTATTCGTGAGTTTTATTTCAACCTGGGGAAAAAAGTCGCAATCTGACACCGCTTCAGCGGTTGTGTACAAAACCAATGAAAGTCAAGTATTTCCTAACAAAATTGGAAATGTTTCTCAGTCCCAGATTCATGTCTTATCATCATTTTTTGCAATGACTGACCTTCATTGAGATGATATATGAAGAGAAAAGTGGCGTCAGGTTGCAACATTTTTTCCTAAAACTGAATTTGGAGCCTTTTTTTTAATTTGTGTGAAATGGAAGTGGATAGCTTTGATTCAGTCCATGAATTTAGGGTCCAAAGTCTGACATTTTTCTTGTCCCTGTTACCTTGGTACTTTGTAATTTGCCATTCAAGTATCATTAAGAATGACTTCAAATAATATTTGTTGGGTAGTAGTTTGTTGTTTAGAATCACTCTTGGAGGACGACTGCATTAAGGAGTGCATCAGAATTATAAAATCATAGGTGTCAGATGCAACAGGGACAGGAAAAAAGTGGACCCCAAATTTTTAGAATTATTTTTTTTTAGTGGTAACATTTATTTTGGGAGGAAATTGTATTAAATTATTCAGATTGGGTGTTTCCATTTTGCATTTAATTTCTTTTTATTTTAGAGCATCTCATTCCTTGGTCAATAAAAACAATCTGACAAATTTGGTAAACATGTTTACTTTGTCACTCTTTGAATTTAAAGAATTACATTCGACAGGAAAAAGTGGTAAAATATTAGATCTGCCTTTATTGTTTTGTGAAATAAAAACTTATAAAAAATGCGAAAATGTGTGTATTTATCATATTCAGTACACTGTAGCATGAATTTATACAATTTATTTTGTTGGTTCAATATACTAAAAAAAATAATCATTTGCTTTTCAATACAAACTATTTTTAAACTACATTATCATAATTGATTTATTTATAACTGTTCTGAAAAGATACAGGTTGACTCTGAAGCGTGCTTCAAATAGCAATTTGCATACAAATTAACTCTAATTTTGTACCACAGGAAAAAGTGGATGAATTTCGGCTGCTGTAATTGGCAATCTATGGTTTGGGATTCAGCAGCAACTAATCTAGTGGGTGTTGATTTGAAGAGGGGCGTAGAATGTACTGGTACATCTGGGGTTGTTTTTTTAGTGCTTATAGTTTTAACCAGTAATTGAATCTTGGTACAATTTCTGAGAATAAGCCTCATTACTGATGAGGTCACACTTTCTTTACGTGTGTGCTTTCCTATGGTGCTCAGTGGACCGTGGGCCCCCACTGGCTCCATAGGAAAGTGCACATGTAAACAAAGTGTGACGTCATCAGTACAGTGGCTTATAACTTCAGCTACGAGACTTGCTGGTGAATCTGCAATCCGCAAAGTACATGTACAGGTGCAGGGCAGTAAGGTAATGGCCAAATTCTGCTAGATGTGCTTCAAAAATTTGCTAGATTTAACAAAAGTCTGCTAAATCACCTATTACACGAAATGCAGATGTTATAAAATTTCCTTTTATGAAACAAAACCAAATCACAAGATTTCCTTTTTAAAAATGTTATCAATTTTTTTTATAAACAAATTTGCACGTGTCTAGCCTGGCTAATTGCAAAAGTATTTGACTGTGTACTAATACACGTCAGGGAACCTCAAATTGAAACTTTTTCAAAAGTAATCAGCTATATTTTTCAAATATGCCATATTTTTCTGTCAGATCACCAATTTTACAGAATGCTGCTAGAAATATGCTAAACAGATTCATTCTGCTAAATTTTCTGTCAAAACTTTTTTTCCCCCGAAAAATTCTGTCAAATTTAGCCCAAATCCGGCTAAAACGGTCACCCGGCCAGGGCAGAGCAGGTGCATACCGCGTATTGAATATAGCGCCCTCTCGCGTTAATTGATATTTGGAGCGGCGGGTACCTCTTATAAATAATAAACACTGTGCAATGGATCGAAACAGGGTACCCGAGCAACGCTAAAGCCACTTGGATTTTTCCCCCATTCACAACACATACACACATTAGACTCATCAAACAGGCAGGTTGATAACGTGTACACATACTGAATGTACGTGAACTGAACAGCAACACGCGTCGTTTTAATCGTGTGCCGCTCTGTGCCACTTTAGTCACCACCACTTGCGTGGCACTCGCTGCTCATATATCATACAGGCAGTGGTCATCACACATGTTGTGTGCGGGGTTGGATATCATCACATCAGGAAAAGTTGTGTTGGCACTGATCTGCCTTTGCATTTCTACACTGTGCTCGAGAAGTACTAGACACTAGGTATGGGGAACATGATGCGACGAAAATCCCGGTTGATCTTGCTGATGGCGCTTGCCTGGGTCGTGGGCATGTTTCTGTACCTGCACAATTCGCCAGATGAAGACCAGGAAGTGGTGAGTAGGCTATACAAAATGTACACACTTGGTCATTGTACTTTTGTAGTTTGTACGATTTCTAATCCAAACATGCTTGATGAACCATGCATACACGTACACAGTCATGACAGTACTCATGTAACTTGTATTTTTGTAAGGTGGACGATGTTGGCCAAAATTTTTAATTTTAATGGCATGTAGGCCTACAGTCATTTTCCTAGACCCGATAGCGATGGCGAACATCATTCAGGCTGCTTTTGGCTTGCTCTATGGCTAAACTAAGTAATACGATTTTAATTGAAATAGGTTTAATAGTTGATAGTGGATATTTTGCCGGAGGTAATGACGGCAAACTAACGATTACTAAAGGTTTGCCGGCGGCAATCCATATCAACAGAGGGCGCTGTACTCTTTAAAATAGGTCTGAATTATAAGATGTATTAAATTCCCACCAAATGTTGTGTAGCACGTTTGGTGTAATGGTAAAGCAAAGGCTCTAGTAAGCGGGATGACTCGCGTTCGATTCCGACCGCACCACATTTTTAAGGTTTTTTTTCTCATCCCCAAATAAATAAGAATATTCTTCTTTTATTATTTTAACATGTCTCAAACATTTTTTGCAGAGTATTACATTTTCTTTTTCAGATTTGTGGCTCTGGAGGATTTTTTTTAAAAGGGAAATAAAGTCCGAAATTATAAAATGGTCTGAATCCCATCTTGTGAATACGAGGTAACAACAATAATTTTGGCATGGAGCCAGACTAAAACTTTTTCACCGGAAAATGTTTAAGTACCAAAACTGCGTAAGAAACTGCGCATGTTCAGTGCATATCCGGCAAACTAATGTTTACTAAAGGTTTGCCGTCTCCGGCAAAATATACACTGCCTTAATTAATTAATAGTTTTCCTTGAGTGAATTAAGGAGATTTTAGAAAAATGTTTTCCAAAGCTTAGCTCTTTAGTTTTAGTTTTGAATATGTGATGTCATAAGTGCAAATCCGGATACATTCAAACAGTTCCACATTGGGTAAAAAACTGCTTCACGCGTTAAAGTATAATCACGCGAGAAAATAAATTTTTCAGCCAGAACCACCAAGAATCAAGCAGATTTTCTGATGAAGGTACAGTTTTTGAAATACAGCTCAAATTTAAAAAAAGATAACTAAGGCCAAAAAAAAAAAATGTTCGGTCTCTGGTCAGACCAAAGTTCCAGAATTGACGCGGCCACGCGGCTTTTTTTTTTTTTTTTGCTTTTTTTTTTTTTCTTCAAGCTTGGATTGTACAGACACTTTTTTGGTCTCCGCATGTACATTGGTGTCCTCCATAATTTGCCTTGGTGCTTTCGATCATCTGCCTTGGTGCAATTTCCCATTCCTTGGTGCTCTTTGGTAAAAAAAAATTAAGGAGGTGCGGAAATAGAGGGCGCTGTTGGAGCTACCGCGGAACATTTTGGGGAAAAAAAAGATCGACGCGCATGCTTAAAATCGACGCGCGCGCTGACCAGAGACCGACTTATTTTTTTTTTTGGCCTAACGTACATCTCGAGATCTACATACAAACTTTCATCTGCAGTGCAGCCGCACAAACTTGCAGGGTCTGAAACCTTTGACCCATCACAGAACATGTCACATAAAATCGATCATGTGCGTGTGGGTCCATATTGTTGGACACACGCGATCCGGAATGATGCAAGAGTCAATATGACTGTATAGTACGAAATTTGAAATCACACGTTCTGTGTGTCGTATCGAGGAGGAAGTTTATTATTATATCCTTGGCTGCCGTGATTTTCTACAAACCATCCAAACATGTAAAAATACGAGTCAGAAATCTTGCCAACATTGAAAAGTCGTTTTCTGGAGATTTTATCGAAAAGACATTTGACTGCACTTTAGCTAGAGTAGATATGATTTTCAAAGTTGAACAAAGAAATTGACTGGAACAGGGTTTGAACCTGCGACCTCCAGATTGCCATTCCGGTGCTCTACCAACTGAGCTATCCACCCTATGTTGGCAATTCGTTAATGTCTAATTTGTCAATGTCGCTTTTTTCATGGGGCGCTAGTCAAAAATGCTAGTCAGAAAAAGCAAATAACCAGTGTCGTGTATGCCATGTAGCCAGGGATCAAGGCCAAAGTCACGATGCTAGCAACATTAGCAATTCTTCAAACCTGGGAAATAGCAAACAGGGATTACTGACGAGGATGCGGCTTTTTATGCCAAACTTTCAAATTAACCACAAATGATGGGAAATGTACTACCGGTAGGTGCATAAATGCACCTAGTACATTTCCCTTTATAGTTTATTTGAGTGTTGTAAATAAAAAGTGTCATTCACTTTGTGTACTGTTTTCCCCGTTTACATTTTTTATTCAGTATCTCTTATCTCAACAATTCCAATTTTTTTTTTCAAATTTTTTACAATTTTTTTCATTTAATGGGCTAAATGTACAAGACATACCCCCTCAAAGGTAAGAAAGGGTGAGTTGAGGGAGACCATTGGGAGAAACATTTGAACGCATCGCGGCATCGTCCAGACGACACCTGACACTCACACGAAGACACTATTTAGCTTTGTGCATCAGAATAAAATAAAGAAAGAAAGCCCATGTGTCCTAATTGCCTTCTGTGTTCTGCAGATTGGGATTGTCCAGAACAATTTCACAAAACATTGAGTTTCTGATGGATGATTCATACAGCTGTTGTCTTGAGACTTGGACCCACGCCATCCTAGTACTGTCAGGGTTGACTTATCCTGCCCCTTGCTTTAACATGTCGGTGTGATAATACCCATGATTTATGCGATTGGTTGGCCAAACACTTTCCTTTCTTACAAGTTATAACCATTGTGAATGTACATTGTACATGTACATGTAGGCCTACTTGGATTGTATACGTAATGCATTTATAACCTGTTAGAGGTGTATTCCCGAAATGGACATGTATGAGCTCAGAAGTCAACTTACGTACATTACATACATATTATACATGTCCAAATGTATGTAGTAAATCTGTAAATAAAATGCCCATATAAAATGCTGTCATCCCTTGTGTGTGAAACATCAAGGCCAAAAAAAATTAAAAAAAATTGTGCTTCCGGTTTCCCTACCTACCCTATTCTGACAGCCCCTATCCTAATTTTTTTTATGGGAAAAATGAGAAGAAAAAAAAAACCCCAAACCATCAATTTCTACCTTTTACCCTTGACTAGAGTAGTTACACACAGACACCTCCATATGATCGTACACAAAAAATTGGCAAAAAAAAAAATACAATTCCCTACCTACCTACCTGTACATTTACCCCATTTTCAAATGCAATGCAATCGGAAGCTGAACTATTTTTTGTGGCCTTATGTGCTTCACCGATTATACGACTGATTATACATGCAGGGGAGTTAACACAGCATTTGATTCCTCAGTTGCTCACATAATATTTCCTACCCACCAGGGATCCAGCTTTTACAGGGTTGCAGGACTTAGATGGCCGTTGAAAACTGTAGTCACACAGCCAGACTGCCATAGCACGTTCTAATTTTTTGGCAGCACTTGCATGTCAGCTGTTGGCATTCACTCTCATGTAGGCCTAGATCTTTCAACCATAAATATAACATCTGCCTGCCAAAAAATAAGAAAAAAATCTGGCTTTAAAGTTTTGTCTTTTGCCTTTTTTTTTTTATAACGATAAAAATAAAATATGCGTTAGCAATGTAATCCAGTTATGAGACCCCAAAAATTGTGCTTATAATGTTTTTTGTTACTGAGCGAAAAGTTCAACAAGTTATTGTAGTTGTTAATGACCCCTCTTACACGTAAGATTTTGAGCAAGTTTGTCTCTCCCCCCCCCCCCCCAAAAAAAAAGAGAAAAAAAATATTCAAAAACCAAATGTTCCTGTGTACCATTCCCCATGCTCTTCAACAAATTTAATTTGTTTTTCTATTTATAAAATGTCAACTTGTATATTTTATTCCAACCCAATAAACCTCTTTTTTCCCCCTTTTTGGATGTCTGCAACCCTTTGGGGAAAAAAAAAAGTTTTTTGTTTTGGGCACAAACAGTCCACTTTGTGAGCCGACTGGCTCCCGGTCCATACATTATCAATACCTGTTGCGGGGCGGGAACCAGCCTACCACGCGATATCAGATTTATTGGCTGGCAGCCAAGTAAAAATGTAATAACAAAATATGGGCCATTTTTGGGTCGATTGTAACATTCAAAAATGAGTAACCTATTGCTAGAAATATAGCAATTTGAAAAAGAATCTATTTTTTGGGAGGAAAGCCAAATGGGGAATGCAACTTAAAATAAACTATAGCCTACAAGTACCCTATTATCAAATGTACCGACTAATTTTGTCCAAATGTTTGCAGATTGTAACAAATTTCTGACCCCACGATCTGGACGGTTGTTTTTCCAAGTTTGACTGAAACGGCTTTATCTTGATTGATTTGTTGGACTTTGCTGCCACACCATTTTGGTCACAGAAGTCTTTTTTTAAATGTTAGAAACCTTTCATGGGATTGTGGACAAGCTGTTGTGAGTGATCGTGCTTTATACAAGCTCTCACTAGCTACATTAAAATGTCTGCCCAAAAGGTCAAAGCCATTCTTTATTTGTGAATACATTGCTAAATATATCATGGATTTTGATATTCTTGACACTAAAAGGTTTACTGAAATTTGAGAGCTATCAAATTGTGCTGGCCTAGTACAATTAAGATTCCTACATGTACCTGTGTTCCCCCCTTTTTTGGTGGTGGTGGTGGGAGGTGGCGGGGGGGGGGGGGAGAACAAGTAAAGTAATGTCCTTCAGGTTTCTCTCTGTCAGATTTACTCCTGCATAAAAAAAGCAGTTGGGTAATTCCACAGTAACTCACTGTTACATTTGGGGGGGGGGGGGTCTTCCTTCAACTTGGTGCAGTGTAAAGTCCAGGTATTTAGGGTGGATTTTGCTCACAGAAGATTTACTAAACTGCACCCCCCAAAAAAGGCCAAGAAAATAAACCTCTGTTGGTGTGG